CTTTGTAATTCTTTTGCTTTCAGTCAAGGTAGCAGCAAACAAGGAATTAAACCCCATTTCAATGAACTATCGCTGTGTAGCAGAAAGCTCCGTTTTTAACCATGGCACAGATCCTAATCTCTTCCCATAAAAACCCAAAGCTCTGAGTGAATGCAGAGCACGGGAGGAGGTAATGCATTACCTCCCCGGGGGAAAACAGGCTCAGACTCAGGCAAGGCATTGAGCTCCTCGTAAGTTATGAGGCTGTTCGCCTGGCGACGGCAGTAAGCTGTATTATGGCCTCGCTTGCTCTGCCTTCTTTTCTCACAACACCATCTTTCATTTTAATGGAGGGTTTTCAGCCAGCTTTGTTAGGGCTGCTGCTAATTGTACTGGATTCATGTGTTCTAGCAGGGCACGGGAAAAAGCCGATGCTGGTTAAATGGGAAGGGTGAGTTTTACTGCCTGGCGCTTTGAACACTGTAGGTCCCGCTTCCGGGAGTGGGAGGAGGGGGCATGGCAGGGACGAGAGAGGAATTTAGAAACAAGTTTAACCCTCTGGCTGCCATGGAAGCTTAGAGGTACCCTCCCTGTGGCAGTGATGGGGCAGAGCGCAGCTCCACGCAAATCAAATAGCCCCCAAGGAGATGAAAACCCTTTTGCGAGTGATCTTTCTGACCCTGAAAGATACAGGCCCACCTCTTCCACTGGGAAATAAAGTCTAAATGTTCTTTGGTGCTTGAAGTGTCAGCTTCAGACCTTCTTGAAGTGGTTTTCATGGGTCACCACAAGGAATTGGAACTTGTTCTGGAGCAGTCTCACCAGAGCTTTGTAAGCAACAAAGTTTGCACCCTCAAAACCTAGAGCTAGATTTTACTGAGAAACTGTAACCATACTGAGCAGGGAGCTAGCCACATCTTTCCCATCACACTGCCCTGTAAATAGGTAAGCAATAATGTAAGGACCAGGACAGCTCTACTGCCCATGAGATCTGGCTGTGAAACAATGCTTCTGGCTTGTGGCACAGAATTTACTGCTGTAGGGCTCCCTAGGTCCCTCAGCACAGGGGCCCTGGGAGGTCAAAGAGCTCCTGGTTTTCTGATCCTATTCCCAGAGCCTCTGGGAGACATGCACAGAAATCCTCCCATCTCTGATGCACAGCACCTGCCACCTTGATCCCTACGATCCTCCCCAGAGCCCTGAACGCTGCAGTCCCACCAAGCTTACTGTCCTGAGTGACCAGAACTTCCCCAGGCATCCCATTCAGACAAACCCCAATTAGGTGGAGAAATTGATGTCTAATGGTGAATCCACCTGGGGTATCTCCAGAAACACAGCTCCGAAATGTGTGGCTCTTCAGGCAGAGGCGCCGTCATCCTACTGCCCCTTCAGCTGATGTGATGATGTCTGTCCCCATCTTGCTGTGAGTTTGGACCTCTTCTCCCAGAGGACAGAAAACCATGGTGAAGAAGATGTAGGCTTTTGCTTCTCACCCATTCAGATGAATCAGGCGGTAGAACCAGGCCACCCATTCACAGAGCACTTTCCCCATCAGCCACTGTTGTAGTAACACCAGAAATGTCAGGAAACTCCCCCAGAGAGGAAGCCTGCCCACGCCATGCACCTAAGCAGTTCACATTTGTAGCCAAGAAACATGGCAAGGAGTTTACTAGCTGTCAAATGGACTCATTTGTTTCACTGCCTTTATTTTAAAGGGCAATTAGCACTGTAGAAGGATTCTCTCTGCCTCTTCAATGTGCCACGTTTGTTAGTTAAAACTTCACTTTATGGTTAACATTGTAACATATGTCACAGCTCTGCATGTGAGTTGCTCTGTGGCATCAAGCAAACAGTGCTAGAGCAGAAATTCTGAGATGTGAATGTGGGGAGAAATAGTGTTGTGAAATAAAATGGTACCCACTGAAACGTATGAAGAAGGTTTTTGGTGAAAGGCTAAACCCCTGGAACTCTGGAAGATGTAGCTATTTGGGATTTTCCCACATAACTGCTCTCTTGAAAGGTGGGACTTTTTGATTTGGGTATGTTTTTTTTTTCTGTGCAGACAGCAAAGTGCGAATCCCTTTATGTGAGAGCTGTGCTCAGGGACAGTGAGTAGCAATGTCAGACAGCAGGGGAGGTGAACCAGGGTGGCCCACGAGCCACACTATAAACGTGGTTTGGGGCCAGGGAAGACACAGGTTTTCCATCAGGCAAGTGGAATGGCCTGGATGTGCAAATGGGAGATGAGTATGTTGGCCCGTTCTGCTCCTTGGACTGGCCCCTGAGCTGGGGCATACCTTTAACTTCATCACTGAGCCATGCAATGGCAATCTCTTACTGTCACTCAGCTAAAGCAGAGATGACAAGCATGTCACTACTGTGACCACCCTGGTGACAACTCCAGGCCATGACTTCAGCTGTTGCCATGCCCACTACTGACAGGTTGTGGGGAATACTCTTTCTTGAGGGGGGGGAAGTTTTTTGCTGGTGGTTGCAGAGGGGCAGGCACTGGGTTCCTGGTCTTCATCAAGACAGGCTGTCACCAGAGAGATCAGAAATCATTTATTTTTAGTGCTATGAATATGTAGAAACTTGTCTGAGCTTCTCCACACAGTGGCCATGAATTTAGAAACAGCGTCAGAAATCACGGCATTCAGTACCCTGTGAATGGGGTCAGAGCTATAAATTTCTCTCACTGGCGTGTGAGCCATTTGCCATACGTGACTTTCTGAATTTGTGGTTGTTTCTCTCCATACCCCTGTGTGCCGAGTGTATGACTGAGATTTTATATTGTGCCTCTGAGACACAAATTCCTTCTGGTGCTTTTGCCTAGCATCCTAAACAGGCTTGCTCGTTCTCTTCCCCATACTCTTTGCTAATGGCTTCTGGCCACAGGATGGCCCTTAAATCACGGGCTGCACCTCGACAAGCATAAACTGTGACTCTCCCCAGACAGAGGGTATTTGTTTAGAGCAGTGAGTGATGTGCCTCCAAACACACGGTTCAGCCTTGTGAGAATGGCTGCTCCTATGCCAAGTCCAAGATAGGTCCTCTGACTGAGGCAGCAGAGCTTCTGCCCATGGTGGCAAGTCCTGCAAAGACCTCAGAAACATTGAACAAGCCTTCTCAAGGACACTCATTCCAAGTACAAAGAGAGGAAATGTTCAGTGTAGATATCATGTGGCATATGTTAATGTGATCTGTGCCTTGTGGGGAAAGTTTAAGGAAGTTCACACTGTGGAGATGGGAAGACAGTGCTGCCATCCTCCTCCACTTCAATGCGTGTGCTTTTCCTCCCCCACCTATATCTGTTCTAGTTATAAAAGCTTTTTTTATTGCAAGACTATTTCTGCTCAGTGAATTAAAATGAAGCATTTGCAATCCCTCCTCCCCAGTGCAAGTGCTCCCAGCAACAGTGCTCTCTGCCTGGTCCCAGCTGCTCTGGTTATCCTGAGGAAGAAGGCAAATGTAGCAGCAGGACACAAGGAGGTTGTTGCTAAAGCCCAGCTCTGCAGAGGTGTGCTCATTGAATGGGGCTGCCTTATTCCACAGACCTGTTCCCTAGGAGCCTGGTGAATTGCTAAAGGCAACACATGTGACTAAGATGTTCCCTAACAAAATTTTAATCCTTTTGGCACAGCAGAGCCAACACACAAACATAAATGGAATCAATGGGACCGTTTGTTAAATTTCTGACTTGTTAGTGCATATCTGTAGCACTTGACCATTGTCCATCAGGGCCCTGTCAACACACTCTCTATATAAAAGCAGAGAGAAACATCTTTGCCATTGTAATTTTTCAACCATAAATTGCTGGAAGATGATCTTTGTGAAAAGCACTAGCTTCATGTATTTAGCAGGGAATAGACACCAGGCAAAGGAAATGCCAGCTAGAGGGCTGGTGACACAGGTTTATGAATGTGGAAACAGGCTAACGATAGAAACTCTTTTGTAGGTGCTAGCAGATTGGTAAGTTTTGAAAGCAAAGGTTTCATGGGAGTTTTCCCAGAAGAACCCCTCTGAAGCTATGACCAGGGCAGACACCATTCTCTGTTGCCACCACAAGCAGAAAGCAGAGGAGGTGGCAGCATCCCAGATGTCAGCAGGTTGCTCCACTTTTTGTTTTTTCAAGCCTCTATAAGCAGCTTTGGTGTTAACCACCGTCTTGCCTGTGCTTCAAGTCCCATGGCCTTTTAATCAAAGGATCATCTAGCCTTCAAAAATAAATCCAAGGACTACTACACTTTGAAGAAAGGATGGTCTTGTACAGCAACCACTTGTAACCAAAAGAATACAAGTCATGAAATATTGATTGTTATGGTAAAGAGTAGCGCATAGGGTAGAAAGTCATAACTGCTTTGTTTTGTTCCTTAGAGACAAGGAACTGCACTCATCTGGCTTTAAATAAACCAGAACAGTAACTTCCCAATGGCTTCCCAAACTCAGCTTCAAGCGCTTCTGAACACAGCTGAAGATCACTTTCTTGCTAAGACCTTTTGTCTCATTCCATCCTGCAGCTTTGTGACAAAGCTGAAGCTGTTTTGTGGAAGGGGCGGAAGTAAATGCGTCAGTGAGTGCACTGTCTCTTGGCTGAGGTTGGGTTTATTTGAACTTGTTTTTAATGTGATCAACCAATCACTTATTGACTGTTTTGCTTTAAATGTGGTCACGGGCTGCAGTCTGCAGTTAAGTCAGTCTGTCTTCTCCTACTCTTTAGTCCCCCTCTGCTACGTAACCATGTTCCAGTACTCTCTTCTATTGTTAAGCCATACTCAGAGCTGTAGAGCACTTTAACGATCCCATCCACATAGTAAAGTGGGGAGTACAACTGTGTGTGTTCTGTTTTGTTCCTAACACTGAGGAGCTCTCTGACTAAACACATCTTTCTCTTCCCAGCTATCATTAACCAGTTGCTCTTCTTTCAGCACAACTTCATCTGCCACTTAACCATTAATTGTATCTGTACCTAAAAGATATTTGAAATGAAACATTCAATTATTACAGAGCTTAAACACCCAGAATAAGGCTGCCATCTGATTTCTTTATTTCAGAAATGATAAAGCACTTCAGCATTAAACTCTTGTTCTCTCCAACAGCAGCCGAGCCACTAAATTGATGACATGCGGATTAACTAAACAGTCTAGCAAATCAGTGGTAGAAAGGGCTGTTTGCGAGGCATTTGGACTGCCGTCTGAACCCATTTGATGTGCAGCCGTTTCACAGTCATTACTCATTGCCAGTTGCTTCCTTGTGCAGTGTAATTTTCCAAAATGCCCTCCTTCATTTTCATGGAGAAGCTCTCTACTGTCACTTTCAACTGCAACTGCACCTATGGAGCTTGTTTCTTGAGACTGTGGTAAAACTTGAATAAGATGAGGCCCAAAAGGTATTTTCTGCAGATTTCCTGCTTTAAATGTTGAAAAGCCAAACTCATGGGTTAGTAATCTGCAGCCCTCTGGTTCACAGCCAACTTCCCTTTTCTTCCTTTTGCATGAGGCAATTGTCCTTTGCTCTGCATCACTGCTGCTGGAACATGGCTGCTCTGATTCACTTGCTTTTTGACACTTGAAATATGCAGATACTGCTTTATTCAGGTATTGAAGATTGATTTCATGGGATGTTGCCTCAACCTAAAAAACACCCAGGATACACTCAGTTAAAAGGAGATGTGTTTCAATTCAGTGTTGCGTGATTATCGTCCATGAATTACTTTTGCTACATGAAGGGAAGGAATTTAAAATTCTTTTTCTCAGGCAGCAGAAAGACTCAGGGGAAGCTAAGCAAAATGTCAGTAACTCTCTGTTATCGCTGCTATAATGGGAGCAAGAGAGGGCTTACCTCTGTGGGATTTAGCCAGGGATCTCCATCACTGGGATTTTCTGCTGATTTTAGGGCACACACCAGCATTCGAGTTATCGCTTCTTCTACACGGGCTTCATGATCTGCATCCTGCCTCAAGGGAAGAGAAAGTGTTTGGAGACACGTTAGCACTTGAGTTTCTCCACAAAGCTGGCTCTTGGGAAGATCTTGGGAAAAAGTAAATTATAGGCTTGGTTTGAAAGCCCTACTCATGTATGCAAAGTCAGTGAAAGACTTCAGATTTGCAATGCTCCTACTTGTGTACTGCACCCACATGGGCAGCAGCACAGGCTTTGGTGTGACTACTCATCTGCATAAGGATTTGCAAAAAATAGATTTTAGTTGTGTATATAATCTTTCCTTTTATTAGTGTTCTGTTAATTGAATCTGGTGCTTGAAATTACAATGCAAAGTTAGCAATTAACATATGCATTTATATAGCTGTTCAGGACTAGAAGAACCAGGGAAGCACATAGGAAATTTTATCTACATACATATTATGTCTAATTTAAGTACTTAAAACACGCAGGATATTACAGCAAGGCAGCAACTATCTAGGGGCTATAGAGACACAAAAGTGAGTCTTAAGGAAATATTTTATCATGTAACAGCAGCTGACACACTGCTGCAGTTCAGCAGAAGGAAAACATGTTTTCTCTGAAAGCTCTCCTGCAAAACTGAAAACAAAGTAACTGAGTCTTTGTTTCAGGCATTCACTTCCTGCATTATTCCCTCAGGCAGCTGGATATCAGCTAGTTTGGGATAGCGGGACAAAAGTTTCTATGATCTGTTTTTAGCTTTCTTTCCCACTTAACTGAGGATTTTTTTTTGTATGTGGAAGGGAAGGGTATGTGGAAGGAGGTAAGAAGACTTTCTAACTATTCTATGATTGTATGGGTGGTTTAGCCATTTCAAAGACAAGTGCCAAGGAGTGGAAACATAAATTTGCTTTAAGATGCTAAGACATATGAGTTTTGGAGGAAACATGTAACCCTGTCAGCTCTGAACTGTGACTTTGGGGAACACCGCAAGCACACCATACATGTTGCTAGTATGAGTGCTGAAGGCAGTAATTCATCCTGGAACCCTGAGCAGAATTTGGGGTAGAAGCAGGGGGACGTGCTCTTAGCATTCATTTAATCGCTTTGGATGCCTGACTTGTTAATGGCCTCATATAACAAATTCCCCAAACGGAGTTTGGTATCATGTGGAAATTACTTAAGGTGTTGCATTCTTGGTATTCATCCTGGTCTGCTGAATAACAGGGTTGTAATTGCATGAGAGTATGTTAGGAAGCAAGGAATACTTTGAGTAGCTCACATCCAACTGAAAGCAAATTAAACTTCTAAAGTCTTGCCAATATAATTAATGGTTTCACTAGGACTATAAATGCTGGCATGATTCACATCTGTAAATGTGAAAGCAGCTGGTAACAGCTGCAAGCAAGAACTGCTTGATTTGGTAATAGAAATGTTCTCAGTATTGTCTTTTAGCATCCATGTCTTATTTTATTATTATAGCTGGATTGCCTAATACCAGACAGTGCTGTTTGAACACCAACAGCTATAGGGACAATTTCTATAAGGAACTTTCATCTGGGTTGCAAAAGTAACACTTGCTTATGGCAGCTTTTGATACTTGGGGAAGGCAAGTGTGCGTGTCACTCATCAGCAAGATCCAGCAAACACTCCTCTGTTTTTGGCACACCACTACACGCTTTAGCTGTCATCAAACAGGGTCTTAGTGAATCCTCCAGGACCTTTATGATAAGAAAGGCCATGGAGTTTTAGCTCCACTATTTCATTCTTTTTTCTTGCAGCACATAAGAACAGCTAGGAATGCTGTAGCTAAAGCACCACCCAGCCACCTGGGAGATAACCAGCCTAGCACAACTGATCCAACCCTGACGTGCTCCTCCAGAGGGGGACAATTCATGAGGCACAGCTTAGGGTACAAGTGCGTGTGTTGACATCAAGGTCTTTCTCTGGTACTAGACACCGCCTGACTACAGTTAGGGCTATGTGAGAGCTTGGTTTGGGCTGGGGCCCGCTGTTCTTTCTAAGTACATAGTCTCATCTGGAAAATTTCTTCATAAGGGAAACACCCAAGCAAGCTCCCCTGCTCTGCAACTGCTTGGTTTGATGCTGGTATGAGAAATGTATTATGGGGTCTTCATCTCCATGTAGATTTCCAATCTAATAAAGGTTTTAAAAAGGTAAGGAGAGAGGGAGGAAGGGAAAGGGGGAAAACACTATGTATTTTAGTGAGGCAGCTTTCACAATCTATTTCAAAGGGTCTTTATTTTCATTTATATTAAGCTAGGATTCATGATGAAGTAACATGAATCAGAACACTTTCTGGAGTATTGAGATGTCCCTGCAGGGGGCTTGGACTAGATGACCTTTAAATGTACCACCCAACCCAAACTACTCTGGTACCCCTGGAACCATTCCATACATACTGGTTAACATGAGCAAGAAAACTCAAAGCCCGGAGAAAAGAAAATTAATGAAATACTTGAGAAAATCCAACTCCAGGCAAATCAAAACTATTACCAAGAAATTAAAATTTAGAAGTGCTCTGCCACCCCCTTCCTATCACATTAATCCAATTTAAATTCTAATTTAGCTTTGCATGTAAGCATGTGCTTGAGGTGAAGTTGCTGTTTTGTTGTCCCCTATTCAGCACAAAGCTAGTTAGCCTATAAGAAATTGGACATGAAAAGTTTAGCTTGTGTTTAGTTGTTTGCCTGACTGAGGTAAACTTGCATGTGATTTCTGCTGAACCGGGGCTTCAGATTCGGAACCTTCGATAGTTCTTCAGGAAAAGCTGTATCCATAAGGGCACTTTCCTCCCCAACCTCTGCATACAGAACACCCAATAGGGCTGAACCTGGCAGGCAAGGGACAAATGTCCATGTAGACATGGAAGTGCTACATCACCATGACATAAAAAGGAAAATACCAGTTCAATCCAAGAGTTTATGCTGATAGTGATGGGATCAATGGATTCCACATTGTGCCACCAATGCCTTGGAACAAGCAAGACCTGGAAATAGAGACATTGCATTAGATACTAGCAGAAGCTTGAAGAAAGATAAGGTGGTTTATATAAGGTGGTTTATTTAAGGTGATGTGGGATGCAGAGGCAGAATGAGGCAAGGAATAAGGGTGGGGTAGGAGGTGATCTTTATTTCTTTCCTCTAAAGAGCCTTTTCTCAACCCTCTCTCTCCTCCCATTGTATCAATACTGTTGCGTAAGACGTGGACATGATCCAGAATTAGCTCTGATCTAAACTCCTTCTCATGTGAAGCAGGACTGTAACCTTGTAACTGCTCTAGGTAAGCAAGGTCTGGCTGTATGAAGGGAGTGCAGCTGGTATAGCAGTAGAGCAGGGCTTTAGAGAAAGTCTCAGCCAAGCAGTACTCTGTAGACTCTCCAATTGAGCAGACTTCACAGTTGTGGAAGGACTGCCAGCTGGCTTCACCCAAAACTAGGTATCCTAATGCTCATCTAGGTGGCTCATGATACAGAGCTTTAATTCTGTAAATAATCACCAGTATTAAACTTGCCACTTTTAGCAGACAGGCTTTTAAAAGAGGGTGTCCCAGGAACCATGACAATCTAGTTTAGAGGAAAGCTTTACAACTTTACAACAGGGATGATAGCTGTGACATAAAATTGATTCTAACCCATGGCTTTTATGGCATAAAGACGTTAATGTTGTTTTGATGATATAGGGCAAGCTTTACAGATTACTGAACATTAGATTAACATAGAACTATCAAGTAAAGCATAAAAGATTGTTTCTGACAAGGAATATAAATGGTCAGACACAGATAAAAATATACCCTTCAGAACAGGGAAAGTAAAGCAATGATCAGTATCTGAATTGCAGACAATTCTTTTTCTTGGTAGACACAAATTATTTAAAAGAATGTTCTGCTTCCTACATAGCCCTGTGCTTCATTATATCAAAACACTAATGAAAATGTCTGTGTAGGGAACAGTAACTGTGCCCTAGTCCCGTAAACAGTTACTTATAGGACAATCAGAACAAAGTCGTTTTTGGGCCAGAGGACAAAATGTTCTCCACATTTTGTTGAATTCCACATTGAAGCTCCACAGGTTTCAATTTAAGTCAAACAAAACCTGCATTAGCTCTCTAAAGGTCAAAAACATTTGGAAATCATACTTTAATCCAGTACAGCATACAGAGCAGAGAAGGAAGTCAGTCTGCAGAGGGCCTTTAGTTGAAAAATATCACAAATTGGTTATTCCTGACATCTAAAAGTGGACAAAACCCTACACAGACTGAAGCCAAAACACATTTTTTACACTAAACAAGTTTGAGTGGTGCTTTTAGCACAGAAACCTACACTTTCAAGTGCAGCTGCATTAGTTACAGTGAGTTTATTTGTTAGTGTTTGCCCACATTTCATTGACTACCAAATCATACAAACCTTCCCCTGCCCCCCCACTCCTCTGTTCTATAGGGGGATCTTACACTAGACTCTGTTAAAGAATCTGGGTGCCCTCCAAATGATAGGATGTAATGATGAAGCCTGGAAAACTTTGCTATACAGCAGAAGGTGTCTTAGCTTCTGGAGTAAGTATCTGTTTACAACAACGAGGTCCTTCCTGTGAGACTTGTGTAGGAAGAGTGAACTTGCAACATGCTGAAGAAGTGGATGAAGGCACTAGTGAATTAGGGTATGGTGCAGAAGGAGTATGTAGTAAGGGAACAAAACCAAGAAGCAAATTAAGGCAAGTGTAAAAATGTTTCAGTAAGAGGGTCTGCCTGGAAAATCAAGATGGAAATTAGGCATGGAATGTGCTGGCTCAACATGACTCAAATGCAAAACAGAGACAGGACTGATTTGGAAAGAGGAGGTGTAACTAGGAGAAAAATATGTTCCCCCCCAGCTAGTCCAGTCTTTTCAAACCGAAGTGAAGGAACTTCGTCTTTGAAGAGACCAATGAGGTTTTACTTGCCAGCAGATTAAGGGTAGTAACTGCAAAGTTGTGCATTTCAGCAGCTGGCACTGTTGGCTAGTGCACTTTATAGGAGAGCTACACAGCTGTGGCTCAAAGAGACAAAACGAGTACCATAAAGACCCTTGCTCTCCCTCTTTTATTTTTGGGCAAGCTCATGCTTGACAAAATAAAGATTTATAGCAGCAAAAGAACTGATATTCGAAAATACTCAGGGCTGAATCTTTAAGGAAGATGAAGAAATAGAAAAAAAAAAGTAATTAAAAGCAAAAAATCCAGCTGGCAAGGAGAGCAGCAGAACTAACAAAAGACAAAAGAAAAAATCCAGCAAAGAGAGGAGTAGGATTATTCTACCCTTATGAACTAGTATTCTTCTAACTTTGCAAACTAGAAGCAAAAAATCCCCAAACAACTATCAACTCCACAATAAAATAAAGCAGACTTCCATTTGTTTATGAATATGGGACACAGATTTAGCTACATTTGAAACTACATTTCAATAGCAAATGTGAAATTAAACCACAGTGAAATAACACACGGGTACACAAAAACATAGCAAACGTTTTACAGGGAAAATTTGAAGTGCAAAATCAAGAAGTATTCCAAGCCAAGAGATAATCTCGTGTTAGCCTGCTTTCTACAGAATATATATGGCTTTGTGGGCTGGGAAGATACTGATCTAAATGGCAACCAACCAGATAATTTTAATATTTAGGCTAGTGATAGGCAAATCTAGCAAATGAAGTCAAAGTAGGACAGAAACCCCAGAAAAGATAAAATGAAATTCTGGTCTGTAATGGGAGCAAAGAAACCAAGAGAACAGTTGGGAGAGCAAGTGAAGCAGTGCTGAAGATTTGTACAGTGCAGAGAACAGAACACGTTTAAATTCTCAATGGACATGATTAACTCGATACAGTGCAAAGGTAGGGCAAAGGTGGAATTGCTTCAAAAAGAGAGCATACCCTGGAGTGAAATACTATACCAAGAAATTTCTGCTCATTAGAAAAAAGATATTTGGGTAAATAAGGAAGAAAAGGATGTCAGAATGCCAGCATAATGGGAAGAAAAAGATGGGGGGTGTGGGGGGACACAAACAAGTCCCAGAGCTGATTGCAACCCTGGAAATGAAGAATAAAACAAATAAATAAATGTGTAGTCAACTCTGTGGGGAGCACCACATGAGGAGTGTGAAGGTACTGCCACCCCAGCCTATGCCAGGTCCCAGCTGGTGTCTGGCTGCCCTGGTGCTAGGAAGGTGCTGCTTACCCTCCCTCCTCCCTGCTCTCTCCTCCCTCCTGAGCTGGTGTCTTCCTATGTGCTGAAACAGTGCACCAAGGGCTATTGACATCAGAAACACAGGCACAGGCTGGGGAAAAGCATGGTGAGCAGAAAGGGAATGTGGCTGTTACCATGATGTGTCTGTCCATAGGGACACAGGTGAGGGACTTAAGGAAGCTTAGGGAAGAGATGGAAAAGTAGACTTGGGAACTGGCAGCTTTCACCTTTGGTTTGTTTGACTTTTTGGGCACTTGTGGGGTTCTCCATGTGTGTTTCAGGCTGAGGGCTGTTTTCATCAGCAACTCTAGTGTAAATTCAGCTCCTGGACCTTTCTGCCTCTTCTGTGATGGACACAATAGTTTCGGTGTCTAGAGCTTGAGCTGGGCTCTCTTCTTTCTCTATGGAGTGACTTGGGGCCATGTGGGAATTTTCATGTGGGACAATACAGAGCTCTATTCTGTCTTCCTTCACTGAAACAGAATTATCAAACATCTACTGCGTATGATGCTGCAAATCACTTAAATTCTTCTCCAATAAAAGTAATTTTTCACTGCAAACCCTTTAAAAAGTATTTTGTATACTTGTAGATGGAACATTTCATTGCCTTTTCAAAAGTTTGAATTATTACATTTCCTGACTTACTACAACACATTTTTCGGTACCAGTTATATTTTTCTTGTTTTTTTCACATTGTTCTGCACTTTAAGCCCAATCTGAAGTTCTCACCCATTTGTTTTAAAGGTGGCACATATGAAAACCCCTCCTGACTTACAAAGATTTATTTCTGCTCGCTCAGGTTGGAAGTGAGAGCTCTTCCTGAGTTACTGAGAGCCCTGGCTGCTGAGCACGATCCCATGGTGTGTTAGGTACCACAGCAGGAGCACAGGAAGAGGAAACCTTGCAGCTGTATGCAGGAACTTAGTGATAACTGTATTGTTTATAGACTTTCAGAAGCAAGCAAACTGTAATGCTGATCTTTTTTTAAAAGTATTTTTTCCCCCATACAGTGACAACGTTTTTCAAGGCTGGAAAGGAGCATCTTTCTTGGACTCGGTATGCCTCCAAGACTAGCTCAGTTAGGCCTTTCCTTGCACCTCTCGTGTATAGAACTGTGCTGCAACTCCTCTGGCTCCAGGCTGCACCTGGAACACAAGGTCAGGAAGAAAGAGAGCAGGCAGCAGGGCAGCTGAATGCTGTCTGTAACAGCATGGGTCCTGGTGTATAATACCCTTCCTGCCTGGGGCAGCATCAGAGTGAATGGCACTGCTCATGGAAACCCAGTGTCCAAGCTGGTTGCTCTCCACTAGGAGGGTAAATGTGTGGAGCCTTATTTGTCCATCTTCAGACAAGCTGGGATGTGCTTTCTAGTCTTTTTACCACTGTCTAGTTACATGGATTAAGAGGAAGATGGATTAAGAGCAATTACATTAACGAGCAGGAAGGAAGCAAGAAGCTGGTGAGACATCGGGCAGAGGAAAGAATGATCAATCATTTTGTATTTGTATAACATCTCAGGGTTGTTTTCTTTTTTGTAGCCTTTTCAGGTGGTACTAATTTTTCCTACTTTTAATCATCAAAAAAGTTAAGCATCTACGTGCTCCTTTTATAGCCCATGCTGAAAGACAAGATGGGATGAATGTTCCTGCAGGACTGTAATTGTGTAAGACAGAGAGAATGAATCCCCATGTAGAGGTGCCAGGTTCCTCCCACTGATGGCAGACAGGACATCTGTCCTGGACAGGGTTTAAGCTGAAGGTGGCAGATCCTAAGCTCTCTTAACACTTGTCCCAGAGTGTGGGGTGGAAGATACTAGAATGGACAAGTTTTGCCCCATTTGCAGCATTTCAAGCAGTATTTATTTGTCTATTTGTGAGAGCAATCAAGGTCTTACTAAAAATAGACAGTGAGTGCAAATCCACCTCCTGTTCCATACTTACCACTCAGCCTTCTAATAACCACATAGGTAAGCAGCTGCAAGTTTTTATAAGGAGCCCCTACATTTGTGTGTTACAACTTGAGCTTGTAACTTTGCAGCTGAACAAGACTATATCCACAAACCCTTGAACTACTTGGCTAGCTATTTCAGCAAGTTAGATATCTAAATGTTATCATAATTTGTACTGAGACTAGGTCACTAATGTATAACCAGAAGCTGCATTAAGGCTTCTGTGGAAACACAGCTGGCAGACACTGGTTAAGTACAGGATGAAATCTTACAAAACCTAAAGTCTCAGCCAACTACCAAAATTCATAGCAGAGATTGACCTCTGAACAATACAGTGAAGGGCACAAAGAATGCAACTGAAGTTCACGTTGTGCATTGGTACAGTCTCATATGAAGAAATTGTGCTTTAAAGCCTTAAATGTGTACAGAAAAACGGCTTGTAGCAAACAGTGACCAGAAGATGGCATTAGACACATTAAGTTTTTGATATTCAAAGCTTCACTTGCCATACACACACTCTCCTGAATACGTAAGAAAACCTTTGTCTTCGTTTTTCAACCCCTTATTGTTATAATATCTAATAAAAAAATATTTTGTATACCCTCTGGGAAGGAATGTAGATACTATGTATTATTACAAAATAAGGCTGGCTGCATATTCTGTAGTGATTGTATTAATTCTACATGAAACCCACTGCTAAGCACGTATCAAGACTGCTATTATTTAGGGATCCTTTTCCCTGTTAACAAAGCAGTTCTATGCCATTCCTTTCCTCTCCATCAAATGGAAGCAGTCCCCAGACATCCCCAGATATCTGCCCTGTAAGTCTCTGGATGAGATGCTGGAAAACCCAAAAGGAACTGATAAAATGGATGAAGGTAATACATCACTGCTCCATCATTGCTTCTGTATTACTTTCTCCCCAGAAATCCACACAGCAACTCCTTCATGGCAATGCAGGCAAGTTGTATTACTGAGCTGGCTCAAGATTTTTATTCCTAGCAAGATTAATATGTAATTGTTTTAAGCCTAATTAAAATTAAGATAATATTAAAGGTTTGCTACCATACTTGATCATTCCAAATGAGATTATAAATTGAAATAGTGCTGGGGATCATGGATAATGCAGTGCTTAACGGATGTGGCATTTTTATCAATTGTAAAAATTTGTTCCTTTTGCTTTAAATTATTGAACACTGCAACTTTACAAAGTGCAGAATGTGAAACTAACCATCTGCTTGAGGAAGTATGACTAGGAACTAACGTAGGGCAAACAATAAAAGTTGATCACAGATTTCCTATTTGCCACTGCAACAGCAGAAGAGCATACTCTTGCCAGTTGATAGGCATGATCCTCTTGTTGAAAACTACTATCCTGCTCCAATGTGCTATCTCAGCAGTTCACAGGGGTGCTCCTCACTCTGCCTCCTCAAAATGAAGTGGATTAGTAAAATCCATTTTTTAAATTGTCAAAGGCAGCTGGGTTTGCCAGCTAGGGGCAAGGGAACACTTGCACAAGTCTCTGAGCTGGCAGGTCAAAAAAGGTGAAAACATCTGGTAAGAGAACACTGAAAAGGCTCTAGAAGTGGCAACTCCACTGTCTTCAGTGTTCAGAGCAGTGAACACTGCAAAATTCTTTTGGAAAGGCCTGACAGTTTGAGATGTGCCGGAGTGTGTTGCAAGGACATGCACTGCTGAACAAATGAAAAAGGGTAATTCAGACTCCAAATACCAACCATGTTGATTAAATAAAGAACGACACTATTTACAGCTGGAGACTAGGAATTAAGAGTCCTGAGCCCTACTCTCATACTGCTGCTGTGGCTATAAGCCACACTTGTAACTTCAGTTTTAAGTGCACTTATAACTGAACTTTCTCAGTAAAACAGCATTAATAATATATTTGCACCCCCACACCATGAAACCTGTGGATGGTGTGCACTGTAAATGCAAGTATCATCATTACAGCACTGTGTTATTATTAAAGCAACAAGTTGGGCCAATGTTCCCTGGTGAAGGTTATTCACTATCAAAACATGAGTTCCTCTGCTGGCTCTACACACTTATTAATCAAACACATTTTATGAAACATATTGGTTTCAGAGTAGACAGGCTGAGCATTGTTCAGGAAAGTTTTAAAGCAGACAAATTAGAGGTGACTGCAAGAAGTGTGATGGAATTGGGCAGCTGACTGAAGTAACTCTCCAAATGTTTGCAGTTTTTGTACAAAAAGGGCTAGCAAAGTATCTGTGAGCAAAGAAAGTTCCCATGCTGAGAGAAATCTATCAAGCCTAAGTGCAGAATGTAGGGATAGGGAAGTTCCACAGTCTATTTGTTAAGATCCCCTAGCTCTTAATTTGCCAGTTAAATAATTTGCTATAATCTTTAAAGTAATGTAAAGCTCATATGTGAATGGTACCTGTCCTGGACTTAGTGTAACAACATGGGCTGTTGTGTTCCTAAACTTGGGGAAGCGTTTCAGATCAGGATTGGTAACGCTGACTTTGCTGAATACGCTGGATTCCTCATAAGGGATCCTGGTGGGATAAAGGAAACTGGTGTCACCAGGTGGGAAGAGGTGCCATCTCTTCCTGAAAACAGACAGAAGATAAAAATGTATTCAGTGCATGTCAGTTACAGCAAAGAACTAAAGGCAGTAGCAAGGCTTTCAATAAAACATAAATCTGCCTCACTGCGTGAATCTCCTACGCAGTGAGAGCACAGGCAGTGCTTACAGGCTGTCTTCTAAAAGTGTTTTTAAAACATTCCACTTTTTAATTTTTTAACTGAAAAGATTTACAGCTTCTCACCAATTATTTTTAAAAGGCAGATAAAATAAAATGTAAAAAAAAAAAGCTCTCCCATCTGGTTCTTCCTTCCTCCCTTTTACGGAGCCACACACAGCATTTACAGATGCTCAGAGCATTAAAAATTGCTCTATAAACCAGAGGAAGTGGTTTTGTTAGAGACAACATACTTTCTCTCACTGAATTAATAGCTGGTGTACCCATGAGGTGGCAACTGTAAAGGGATATCAACATGATCTTCTGTCTCCTATTCATCACCTGCAGTACTTACTTGGCTGTCAGTCACAAAACCTTCATTCTTAGTAAAACTCACCCTGATGTCCTTGTGCCAAAGATGGCATAAATAAAAAAGACATCCATACACATAAGCATCCTGAAACACCTGTATTTTTTTGTGTTATCAGTAACACAGGATGAAAACGTGGCTTGTGTGGGCCACTGGGTGTTAGAACTTACTAGCATGACTAAATGCTCAGATGGAGCAGGACACAGCCATTCTGCTCCTGAGAACACTTGTGTTCTAGGTTGCTCTCTGTATACCCAAAGAAATGGGTCAACACGCTGCAGTGCAGGACCAAGCAGACCTGAGACATGGACCTTGTTCTCAGGAGCTCACGTCTCTAATTCACGTACATGGACCAGATCAAAGACAGAAAAAAGAATATATGCCAGAACTGGTGGTGCCAGTTTTATGGGTACTATAAATGAAATATCTTAGCAGGTACATATGTTATTTAGAAATAGAAGTTTTATATGGCAGTACGTTAGGTGATGGAAATAACCAGAAAAGAATACACAAAGAGAATTTATTACATTTAAGAGGTGCCAGACAATCAGTACAACAGTGACCCGTGCACTAAGCAGTGGAAAAGTAAAGGCAGCACTTCACAGCACAGTTGGACAATTTGTCAGCATTCCTATTTGTTTTAGACTCTAGCAATATCATTTCTTTTTGTCCCCTTCCTTGGTACTCACTTTGTGCTTTTTGCCTACTGCTTCTGGTTATCAGTTGTAAGTCATAGATCTGAAAATGGGAGAAAAGCAACCAAATGGCACAAAACCAGAAGAGAGAAAGAAGAGCAGGAGAGGCAGAACTGCAGAGACTGCCAAAGATGGAAGTGGCATAGGACACTGACATTTCTGTGTAATTACCAAAGCTACTGCTGGGTGCAAGCACAAAAAAACAGTTCTGAAACTCAAGCCCTACTGCAACTTTTTTTTTGCCATCCAGGCTAGACCCTCTGAAATGGCAGAGAGTAACTAGGTTAGAAGGCTCATGGGTTAATCCTGCAGGCTCATGACAAAAAAGTATCATGAAGCAAAAAATTAAGAAGCCCGAGGGATGCAAGGAGGAAATTTAAGATAGGAACAAAGGGCTAAGGAGTCATCCCTGGCTTTCCTGCAAAGGCAAATCTATTTAAGTTTAGCATAAACTTATATTCTGTTACAGAGCCTGTCTTGTTTGTGAGTCTCAAAAGGGAATCTTTCTTCTCTGAAGAAGCACAGGATTTGCAAGCTTGTGGAAGTTTGCAATCTATTTATAGGCTTTGCTGTGAAGAGAAAAACAACTTTGTCTTTTCAGGCCATGCAAAGGCTTTAGGCTGCTTCTTTCCCTGAGAGGAACAAGAATTTTGCTCTACCAGAGGGGGAGGAAATGTCTTGAGAAGGCAGGCAAAACTGCTATGTGATGCTGGAACTCTGGCTTGAGTTCAACACCTGAAGGCAGAGATCAAAGTGTCAGGGCAGGTATGAAGTCTGCTAAATTACTGTACTTAGTACACCCAATATTTAGGTGGATCCTTAGATGATATTTAGCCATGTAAGTCTCATGGTTTTCAATGAGATTTCTGGCTCATAAATACACTTCAGTGTCTGGACTTTAGTGCATAATGCTTACTGATGTGATCTGAAGCCTACAGACTGGCTGCAGCAAAACACAGTGCTGAGTGTGGCTTCCAGAGTGTCTCTGCTGCACTTTCACCCAGGGATGTCAAGGCTGTTTATAAGCAAGAATGAAAATCTGCCTAAAAGAGAGGAACTAAAGAGTTCAGAGCTAAATGGAGTTACCCTTTTTACAGATAAGAATAAAATTCATTTGCCTCAGGCCTTAAAGCCTGTCAACCAGCAGTGCTGCCCAGCATAGAACCCAGCATCTGTGACTTCCAATCCTGCACCATAATCACAAGACCACCATGATTTTACTGTTCTATAAAATGTCTGAGTACCTAATTACATTAAAATCGCACTTGCTCCAGTGTATACTATCAAACCTAAAAAACGCATACAAATTGTTTTGTAACTCTAGCAATAACAGATTAAAAAACAAACAAACAAACAACCCTGAGGCCAATATACAGGAAAAGGAGGAAAAAAAAAAAGAATGGGAGAGGGGGGAAGTCAGAATAGAAACAGGGAGAAGATATAGCAACAAAGCCACAAAGCTCCAAAATCAGCTTGGAGCCTCAAACGTCCCTTTTAACTTTGCTCACAGCTGGCTGCTCCCATCCTGATATTCCCCTTTTAAATTAATTCTAGCAGGCTATTAGAGGCTCTTACCGAGATAATATTGTAAAAGTCTCAAGTAGTTTATTTCCATTTTGCTTCTGGGCTTTTTATTTTTAACTCTTTATCTCCTAGTTCCATAATTCATTCCTAATTCATAACTACTAGGAAGCTTAAAATGTTTACTATTGGACCACACAGCACACATATAGGAAAAGGTCTTCCTCAAACAAAAGAAAATATTACCTCTGCAACCCAAACTCCAACCTCCTGAAGTTTTTCCATTTTCTATAAAACAGTTCTGATGCTCTTCAACCATTGAGAGCTCAGAAAACTAAAATAATCAGGACCTAGAATTAATACTTGAGTCCAAAACTAACTTCAAAGAACAGTACAACATTCTCCTGTATTTGTTGTGGGCATACGGACTTGTTACCTTCCTTGTACTTGCAACACTAAGTTGCAGCCGTAGGAGTCCAAATGGCAAGGGGTGTTTGCTCCTTCCGAACCAATCCACAGTGTGCTCTCTTTCCCATTTCTTCCAGGAAAACCAAAGTCAGACCACCTTATATCCTACAGCAATGAGAAGATTATTTATGTAAGCTGTTGAACCGATTCATATCTTACCTTCAGTTCTCCAAGTCTTGGTTTCTCTCTCCACTGCTTAGTTGCTCTTTATCCACAGCAGCTTTTGCTCCTTGGTGGAGTTCCTGCATGTATGGCCTGTACCCCTTCCTCCAAAATTCTCATCTCTGGTAGCATTTTTTCTGCAGACATCCTTCTTTTTCTATGTGACTACATAGCCTCCTAGATCTTCAGTTCTCATCCCAGTCTTTCATATCACTCAAGTTAACCCATTTGCTCTTCAGAAGGACTGACCAATTGCTTTTGGTATCTGTGGCTTCTTTTCAAACTCTTTTATTTCCTTTTTCCACTCTTAACCATCCACCCAAGCTGAGGACTGCTTTCAGAAAAATTCTCATATATGGCATTTAAAAAATTAATGAAAGGAAGGAAGGAAAGAACCCCTATTCCCTTTTCAAACCAATTTCATAACCCATATGGCATATTTGCTCTATCTTTCCACCTGTCTCAGCTTTCTTCATGTATTCTGGAAATGCAAGACTCTACCCCATCTCTGACCCAGTGATATGTTCCTTTTTAGAAGTTTCTTATTATTTAATGGACAAATTCTCCTCCTGCCTCCACAGTTGCAAAGGCAGTGCACTTAACTTGATTACATGGTAAGAAAGGGCAAAAGAGGTATGCATGCATATAAACATGACCCTGGAGCTTTCCAGTCCATTGATCCTCCCATAAGCAATCCCTTGGGGTTGGCAGCTGGAACAAGGCAGGAAGAGGTATTTTTCAGATAGCTCAAGGGGGTTGCAGCATGGCTCTATATAGCTTGGATAGAGCCTTCCCATGTTTCTATAGCTCACCCTGTCACCTGCAGAGCCTGATCATTTGTTTATTGGAAAGCACAGTATCACAGTATGCTAGAGATTGGAAGGGACCTCAAAAGATCATCTAGTCCAATCCCCCTGCCGGAGCAGGAACACCTAGATAATGTTACACAGGAATGTGTCCAGGCGGGTTTTGAATGTCTCCAGGGAAGGAGACTCCACAACCTCCCTGGGCAGCCTGTTCCAGTGTTCCGTCACCCTCACTGAGAAGAAGTTTCTTCTCAAGTTTAAGTGGAACCTCTTGTGTTCCAGTTTGTACCCATTACCCCTTGTCCTGTCATTGTTTGCCACTGAGTAGAGCCTGGCTCCATCCTCGTGACACTCCCCCTTTATATATTTATAGACACTAATAAGGTCACCCCTCAGTCTCCTCTTCTCCAAACTATAGAGACCCAGCTCCCTCAGTCTTTCCTCATAAGGGAGATGCTCCACTCCCTTAATCATCTTAGTTGCCCTGCGCTGGACTCTCTCCAGCAGCTCCCTGTCCTTCTTGAACTGAGGGGCCCAGAACTGGACACAATATTCCAGATGTGGTCTCACCAGGGCAGAGTAGAGGGGAAGGAGGACCTCTCTCGACCTACTAACCACCCCCCTTCTAATACACCCCAGGATGCCATTGGCCTTCTTAGCCACAAGGGCACAGTGTTGGCTCATGGTCATCCTGTCGTCCACTAGGACCCCCAGGTCCCTCTCCCCTACACTGCTCTCTAACAGGTCTTTTCCCAACCTATACTGGAACCTGGGGTTGTTCCTGCCCAGATGCAGGACTCTACACTTTCCCTTGTTATATTTCATCCAGTTATTCCCTGCCCAACTCTCCAGCCTGTCCAGGTCAAACAAGGCAGGAAGAGGTGTTTTTCAGATAGCTCAAGGGGGTTGCAGCATGGCTCTATATAGCTTGGATAGAGCCTTCCCATGTTTCTATAGCTCACCCTGTCACCTGCAGAGCCTGATCATTTGTTTATTGGAAAGCACTTGAAGTATAGTGGTGTCTTTTGGCTGGAGCTGCAGAATGAACCTTAGGAAACAGAGATTCACTTCCTGGCTTCCTGATGGCCTCAGGCAAATCACTTTATCTCTCAGGTTTATTTTCCCCATCTTGAAAAAGAAAGTAACAGTATTTGTTCCATTTCAATAAAGCACATTGGGGTCATTCACATCACCTAACTTCAGGAACTTAATTTAAGCTTGGCTCTCGCTCTTGTCAAAGCACTCTCATTCATGCCTTGGAAAAGCCTACCTCTCTCTGCTATCTATAAAGAGAAAATAGGAATCCAGCCTCCTAATTTAAGTATGTAAGCTAACTGCTTCCAGACAGGTGGATGGCTATTATTTGATAAGATTTATGGATGAGGAAAACTACAGCTAGACAGTATTATAAGGATGACTTCACCATGACTCTGCATCAGGAAACCCTCAAAATGAGCAACAGCCTTCCCAAAAATGAGGTATTGCTGGAGATTTTGGATTTCAAAGTTATTGATTTTTAAGGCATAATTTGAAGAAAAAATCAGATGCATAATACAAGCATTTGTCAAAGGCAGCAAAAAATCAAAAAGTTGCTCCTATAGATTTCAACAGCCATAAAATTTAAAGTCCAATACAACTATTTCAATGATAAAGTTAAGCATAACACTGTCTCTGCCCTTGAAACTCACACCTAAATAGGTTTGTATTTTGTTACAGTTTAAGTGGAAAGAAAGCACACATAATCAATATTAGATTTGGAAGAACTTTTTGGAAATGCTCAGCTGCAGTAAATAGTTGAAGTGATTATGGGTAAAATAGTTTTTAACCAATGAACTGAAAAGGAACTGGTAGAATTACTGAAATCTTGTCACAGTGCACTCCCTTCTTACAATAAAAAGACACAGTAAGAAGAAATGCACTAAAAGGTGTTCCAACCATAACAGATGGCACATTACTTGTGAATTATATTTATTTCATTTGCTGCTTATAATGAAGTTAATCTGTACCCGTATGTCACTTTAAAAGGTCTCATTTCTATTTAAACTTCACACATGTATCTTGCTTCTGATTTATATCTCAAATTCTGTAATGAAATATCAACTGAACAAAAAATGTAAGATGCTAGATACTGCTCACAGATTAGAATTATGGAATCATTACCTTAGCCCACACAACTGTAAATGATAAACAGTGCAATCTAAATTTCAAACAACTTCTAAATGGCCCTATTAATCACTATAAATAACAGTGCAGTTGGCCTTCTTTTCCCCTTCAAATCCCCTTACGTAAATCTAAATAAAATATAAAAAGAAAACAGGTGTTATCAAAATCAAACAAGAATGGAAGAGAATTTCTACCAATAATTCTTTTGGCTGATACAAATTGTGTAGCAGTGTTTCAAAAGCTGTATCAGTCAGGAACTGATAGGTGCATTTCACTCCCATGCCTGTGAAACTGGCAGATGACATACACCATATTTGCTTGCATAACACCATTGATTTTTCCCTTCCCTGATTCTGCTTAAAAAAAAAAATCCATGGCATAACCATTACATGTGTCTATTCCAAAATTGGAATACAATCTGTTGCTTGTTATAGGTCAGGCGATGAGGCTGTGGTGTGACACCTTAATTTTGTTCTTGAATGGGGCAAAGGGAAGAAGAAGGTAAGAAAATGGTTGTTTCCTTCAACTGTGTTTTTATTGACCAAATGAAGCTATTCAGGTCTTCTGAGCTTGCTATTATCTCATTCCATAAAACACAGAAAATGCTGTCTGTTGAGGCAGAGGGAAAACCACGGCAGGACCACAGCTAGAGGAAGTTACACAAAGATCCAGGGAAGCCTGAAACATCCCTGAAGCTCCCAACTTAGTTCAAACAACACAGCCCAGTATCAGTTGTGCAGCCCAAGTTTACTTCATCCTAGTTGTGTTTCAGTGTGCTTGGGAAGGGAGGGGAGAAAGAAAGGTAAGATGGTCTCTGTGCCCAAATCTTACAGTCAAACCTACAGAACAAGGGAAAAGGAGACACTCTGAAAAAAGACGAAGCACTTTAAAATACTAACTTTCCTGGTATAAGAGAATAAAATACATATAAGGAGCACGGGAAATGCTTTCTAAGGAAGTAATTAATTTGAGGGGGTTTATCAGTTCATACAGTCATCCCAGTGATAGTGTTTGCATGGAATTATGACTTGAAAGTATAAAAATGAATAGTTGAAAGTATAGAAATGAATAGTACGCACAGAAAAATTTGAAAGTATAGAAATGAATAACGCTTCATTTACTATTCTTTCTTTGTATCTTTGGAAAGACTACACCTTTTGTATTGTAATCCTTAATTCTGTCATTTTATAATTTGCAAGGAGAAGTAGCAGGAATGTAGATGAATCAATACATTGAAATAGCAGACAGACATGGAGAAAGTAAAAGGAAATACCCCAGGTTTCCTAATTTCCTAATACTTACAATTGGAAATTACCATATATTATGTACTTCCGTGGACAGGTTACTTCATGTATTTGATTGCCTCCACAGGCAATCAAGACATAGTAATCCCACAGATGCAGAATCAATCCTCCTTGCAAACAGTTAATCTAACTATATTAAGGGAAGAAACTGAGCTACTTGAGAAAATGAGCCACAAGGCAAAATATAGAGCAAACTCATGTTACAGCCTTGCTGCTACAAGTGAATCCATGCCACTAAATCCCCTGTCCTAAGCAGAGCTATTAATTCAGGTACCTTTTCAGGTACAAGGTGGATGTGGGGCAGCTATCAGGGTGTCAAGTTTCCAACATGCCAGGCCTGTCGGCTGCCAGTCATCTTCACACCCTATTCCCATCTCACTCCTGCCTTCAGCAGAGGTGAAGGTAAGGTGTTCAGCTGCAGAGGTCACACACATGACTGTGCTTCCAATGTCTGCCCAGTGACAAAATGATGCTGAGCTAAATGGGAAGGCAACACTGCCAATCTGGTAGTTGTTTTTGTCACTTGTGGTGGGTTTTTTAAGCATACAAGGGAGACCCAGATTCTTAGATGGCTGCCACTTGCTACCAGTTCTCCATTAGCCTGAGAGCCAATGGTTTTTATTTCAGATTTTTAAAATAAACTGCCAAAGGAGCAGAGAGGAGATAGCAGTAGAGGTTTCAGAAACTACACTAGAGAGCTTGCAATTATTAAATTAGGAAGAAATAATATTAATGTTTTACCTGGAAAAATTCTGGCTTGTCTTCAAATATCCTGGCAATGTATTTGTAGTCAGCATAAGCCCAGTATTTAGAGAATTCGTAACAACTGAATGGTCCAGAGAGACAAGAAGGCTGCCCGCAACTCCAAGCCAAAAACTCTTCAAGTGTAGCCTTCACATAACTACACCTGGTTTCAAACTGGGGAACTAGAGCAACAAATGAAAAGCCAAATATTACACAAGCATGCCCAGAATCAGTAAAAATAATATGTAGTTTCTCTCTCAGCTCTGGATAATGCAACATGAGATACTGAGTGGGAGTAGGTGACTTGACTCTGGTCAGTAACATGGTTCTCATCACCGAACTCATAATTATAAGTCTGAGACTATTTTTTTTTCATTAAGGCTTAAGTGAACGGCTGTTACCTTGAACTTGCTGTAAGGTAAAGGCACACCAACAGTTACTGTTGTTCATGTGCAAGGCACCCTTCAGCACAGTAACTCAATAATATGCCCAAGTTCCCTAAACAACTCAGAACCTGTCCTTTTCTTCATCTCCCTTCTTAAGTGTGAGCTGCAAATGTGCACACAAGTATTTGTGTACCCTTTACTCTGTCTCCATGAATTTATGTAGACGGGCATGTTCATTTTCCCCTTTCCCTAAAGCAATTAACAAAATCAGCACAGTAATGCGGAGGAAGCAAATTATGGAGCCACACGTGTGCCAATGATCTATCTAAAATGCTGTGAGTCCTTACTTTTCATTTGACACTAACAAAAGCATATTGTGGTGTTCCTTGGCAGACATAAAACTATCAGTCAGCAGTGTTTTGTTCCCGTCATGCTTTCGTCAGGCTTACTGATAGAGCTTTCAGCTCATGGTCAGGTCACTTGGAAGGTCTGCAAGATAACCCATGTCACCCACATCACAGCATACTTTAATTGTGGATTATCAGAGATCTTCATTTCCCACAGCTGCTAACTGTGTCAGCTTCAAAAAGACTTATCCAGTGTTAAAAAATACTACTTTACTGTAGTACTGTAACCACTACTGGGGAAAAATTACTGCAGCCTCCATGACTTGACAATGACTGCAATTTAACCTTGTACACCTTGCATAGAGCTGCTCAGAAATGGAATCCTTTCACTGTTGTGCAGCAGCAGCTCTTCATTCTTCATTTCTCTCTTTTTGTTATTGCAGCAATTCCCATAGTCATGCATTTGTTCTTATTCTCTCTGGTTGGAAAAACAGCTTTTACAGACCTCTGTCACTATCATTTTGCCCTTTTCCATTGTAGTAGCCTAGGCGGTAGTTTCCTTCACCTCATTATCAAATTCATTAACTAAAAATGTAAGATAAACTGCACTATTCAGCAACCTGTATCCTGGGTCTGTGTGTGGAAAGGGCTCCCTAAGAACTGAATACAAGACATATAAATCACCTGCCATAACCAAACCCCCCTATATCTGGTTCCCTGTCTGTATTGCAGTCCAATGCCCTCTCCTGATAGCCAGTCATTAATGCAATGCACATCATTTTTCTAAAAGCTGGTCTGATGGAAAAATTAGGTAGAAGATACAATCACTATCTGTATTATTTTGATGAGAACAAAGAGTGCTTAGAACACTACCTTTTATCCAAGATTACTCAGGAGCAACTGTTTTAAAGGCAAGAAATATGCTCTTTCTGCCTCACAGGGTGTTTCACTCTGAGCTTTAAAAAAATAAATCCAACTATGAAAAGCAAAAGTATCTTCTAGGATGCAATCTTCTCAGGACAGAATTCTTGGTTTAATTTATAACTTGTTCCGTTCCAAGGTGTGGGTGCTTATAGAAAAAGAAATATAAAACATATTTGGGCAATCTAGACAGATTGCTTAAATGGATTTGTAGACTGTAACTAGGGTGAAAATGTTAGCAATGGGCAGCTGAAAGCAAGAACATTATTAACCAGTTTGCTAACACTTAATGACTGAAAGATTAAGGTGTTTCATAAATGATAAATTGTAGATTAATCTCTGTATGTAAGTCTAAAGTTACCACTGATGTCTGATGACATGGTATATGAAGACATGACAGTCCTCCTCTCTCCCACTTAATACCACATATTCAAACCGAAGAGAAGAAGGGAGAGAGGGAAGAAGTGCTCTTCCGAGGAAGCAGCTCCCCTCCTTAGTTAAGGTCTGGTCCTGAGAGATGCCAAATTCTGTTCCACTCAGAATGACTGTTTGCAATGTATATACATTGCAATGCAATGTACTGAAGAAAGGATAACAGCCTTAGGAAATACTCTAAAGCTCCAGTAAGAATGCAAGTGAAATGTCTCCTCCATTTCTTTAAGCTTGAAAGAAAACCAAATGTCTATTCACAGCTGCTGGAGAATTAAAAATATTTAAATGAATAATCCAAGAAAGAAATAGCCATTTAATACTATAACAAAGCACAGACACATTAACAAACCAGAAAACTGGCCATCCACGTCCAAGTCCAATAAACACCTCAAATCTCAGCTTTATGCAACTGTCAGTGTATGATATTTGTACTGTATTTTCAGCCTCCTATTCAGCTACTGAGTCTACAGCCTCTACTGTGAGAGTGGTGAGACACTGGAACAGGTTGCCCAAAGAAGTTGTGAAAGCTTCATACCTGGTGATGTTCAAGGCCAGGTGGGAAAGGGCTTGGAGCAATCTGGTCTAGTGGGAGGTGTCCCTGCCCATGGCAGAGGATTGGAACTAAATGATCTAAATTCTAAATCATTGTTTATAACAATTCATAAAGAATTGTTTAGGTTGGAAAAGAAATTTAAGATGGGCTATAATGCCACCAGAAACTACTTCTGTAGCTTTATTTCTGTACCTTTATTTCTTTCGTACCTTTATTTCACTTCAGAAAAAGAAATCTTTTAGCGTGGTTGGAACTAGATGGGTAGGGATTTCCTGATTAATAGCACCTTCATTGTTTGTGTAATGAACACTGGTACTCTTCTCTGGAGGTATCTTATCTCTGTCAACACTTAATCCTCTGTATTTTTTCCCCTCTTATGAACACATGTTGTTTAACTTGTGTATCAGACAGAACACTACCAAACACACAAACTTAGGTAGGTACATATAATTCACACAGATAATACTCCTGGGTCCCACATTTTCCATGTTTCAAATGTGCCTTCCGTGTGCCTCCAGAGCTTCTAAACTATCAAGAAAAGCAAATATAAAATCCAAGCAACTCCAACCAAGTTGCCCCATTTGCAACTTTTTTTACATTAAAGAATATTTGGGAATGCCCACCCATGCTGCAGATATGGCACTAAAGAAAGATAAGAAGTTGTCATAGTAAGAGGTCATAAATAATTTTGGAGCTTCCATATGAACCCTGTGGCTTAAATAATCTCAGAAACTCTCAAGCCAAAATACACCTACAAGCACAACAGTTTATTTCTTGTAGCTGTTTCCAACTCAGTGGCAGGACTGGTCCTGTCTAGTCTTAGGGCAATTAATCTACTGTAAACATGGGATAAATATTCCTATAAATAATAAAATACAATTTTAATTGTATTCTCCTGTTGCTTTCTCTAACCACATCACTGCCTCTGTTTCATCTGGGAAAGTTAGCAACAACATTAAGAAAGGGAGGCCCTCGCTAAAAAACAATGTTAAGCATGCAAGAGTGAGATCAGCCATCTTCCAAATGACAGTGGCACATAAAATGTATTACATTATTTCATACTCTGAGATGGCTTGGCTAATGGCTTGACTAATATATCCTTACAATGCAAATTTTTTATAACATCACTGGTTTCATTCAGTTACAAAATAAACCCTGAAGGCTCTACCCATCTTCTTGAAGACATTTCTAGCTCACATTAGCATATAATGGAGTTCCTGGAGAAAAATGATTATTGCCTATGGATTGATGTCTTTAGAAAAAAAAGCAAAAATACAGACAGATGCAACTTCCAGATACAAGTTCCAATTTAAATTCACTTTATATCCCTAGTGACTGCAAGTTATTGTTATGTGATGACTCTTATCTACTTGGTAACATCAATCCATCGCTTAGCTACGTAACACTCCAACAATCCCATCAGAAGCTTTCCCAGTTGACATTAGCATTTGACTCTCAAAAAGTGCCTACTAATGGAGAGTAGGACCAAAACTACCCTTTTACCTGGTAAGCTTTGTGTATTACAACCGAGATAACAGGTATCAAGAAAAATGTCACATATATGCAATGTCTTCCCTATTGGCAATGGGATGCCTTTTACATGTAGTACAAGAACTGGCTGATACCTTGTTAAACTATAGAGATGTTGGTGTTAAGATGTGTATCAACATTAATTCTACACCTCAGTTATCCCATCTGTAGAAAATGAATAAACAACATCTGTTTTCCCAGGAATGGCATAGGAATCATTAAACTGTGATGGTAAAATGCTTTGAAATCCTAAACACCGCACATTTTCCCTCTACTACTTCTTTGTGTTTCATCACTTCTCTTGCAAAAATTGAACATGAAATAATATGGTCATGATGCTGTAAAGAAAGCAAATTTCACACAGTATTGTTAAGTAACACAATGTGATGAAATTCTACCACTTCCATATGAACTGGTAGAGTCTCTTCTGCAGGCCCTGCATTCCAAGAAAGAGGTAGTCCAACTAAATAAGATTAGAAGAGTACAGAACAAATAGCTAGGTAGGGGTCTAAAAACATGACTTATATTGAACATTTCTGAAGACTAGGGAAAGAAAAAAAAAAAAGACTGAAGGGAGACAAGATACTTTAGGGAAAAGGGAGAAAGTGCACAGCAAAATGTATTTTGGTATGTGGTTGGGAGGGCAAAGGATGTACAGGGCGCAAAAATAAAGCAATGCATAACCTCTAAAGTGGCTAGCAGACTGCCACCTTGGAGCATGTTTCCTGTACCTCCCCTTGCTGTTATGAAACTCTGTCCATGGATAGACTATGACTAACGTTGTGTGACTGCAGGCAGACATTGGTTGCAGTATTTAAAATCAAGTGCAAAAATTGTTTTTCTCTCATGGCATGTTCCTAGATACCTGAGTGAATCTGCAGAGTTAGAGGTGAAATTATTGTACTGGTGTCAAGTGATTTTCTTAATGCTTTATACTTCTATAGCATCTTTCATCACAGTACCTTAAAGTATTGAAAACCATCACAGCCTTACAAAATCTCTGGAGAAAGGTGAGAATTATCAGCATTTGACAGATAAAAACCCCCAAGATAGACTGGTTAATTGGCTAATTCTTTAATGTACTCAGGATGTACTTTGCAGATATGGGAACTTAGGTCACATGAACAACTGAATCATGTTTAAGACCAGAACCAAATACACACAGTACAAAACAAGGAAAGAACACTGAGATCACAGAATCATAGAATGGTTAGGATTGGAAATGCTTGATTCTTGTATGTTAGTGTTACCCACCACATATCTTCCTAAAAATAAATGATAACGGAGAGTCAGAGACTTGCAGAAAGTGAGAAAGAGTTGTAATGTGTAATGACTATTCACTTCAGTCTCACCTAAACCCATGGTCTTCAGGCCTAGCCTAAACTGGATTGTCTTTCCATCCAACACAGCAGAAAGATATTTTGCATTCCAGTGCAGGGCTGGCCAGTCACCAACCATGTTACAGAAGACTGCAGGTTGCTGTAGAGACATCACAATTTCCTTGGTTTTCTCAGGAGTAAATGGCTTGACATCTTCACCTATGTAAAGAAAAAAACGGCTTTAGAGAGATGATTTATGATACATGAAGTGCTGCCTACCATCAGCCTACCACAGCCTACCACCACCCTACCACAGCACATGAAACATTAAGAACGTGTTGTTCATGTTGTTTTCTTACACTTGTAGATATTTTTAAATTTCTACTGCAAACACTGAAAGAACATTCTTACACTAAATTAAAGTGGTGTATTAGCACATAAAATGTAATAAAAAAATAAAAATAGGCATGTGTTTAGAATTTTCACTTGCAGCTTAGGCAATAAAGCACTGCAGCCAAACTGCTTAGGATTAGGCTAGCAATAAAAAATCCTTACAAATAATGTCCAAGAGTTTAGAGAACATAAATTTTATGAGTAACAGTCTTCCTGCATGGGATTCTTTCCAAAAAGTGTAACTCAGTGTCAGAGACAGAAAACCAGGTTCCTATGCATTCAATTTAAACCAAGGAACAGCAGCATAACCTAGAGAGCAGGTATTTTCTTTTCATCTACAGAATTTTAGAAAATGGCTATCGTGCCAATCCAAAACCTAAACTAACCCAAGATTTCCATTTACTTCATTTTTGTTCACATGCCCCACTGAAACTGTCAAGCTGAATAAACTCAGCACTTTCAGGACAACTTTTCTTTAGGGATATTTTGAGAAGGAAAACATTTTAAAAGAAAAAAAAACCAAACTCAACACATAACAGCTCCACAGAGCTGAAGCAGTGCACTACAACTCTGGATCATAAAAATACCCACTCATTATTTTAAGCTCTACTGAAGTTAACTCATCCAGAAATTGTATCCCTGTAATACCTAAGATTTAACATACTGAACTGATACATCTGGTTCCCCATAACTCCTAGCAGCTCATTTACAATAAAAAAAACTTAATTCAATCATTTTATTTAGGAGTCCAATCATGGTCTGGTATGCACAATGGGTTAAATCAGTACAGGAGAAAAAAATCCTATTTCCTTCTGGGTGCTCTCCCTGTGTGCGAATGGTGGGACAGGTAATGGAGAAACAGCCAGTCCCACAGAGGGCAGCCCTGCAGTGCCAGCTGGGGGAAACACAGAAGACTGACTCACTGGGAACAAGGGCACCAATGAGGGTTCTTCAGGATTGTTCCAAACATAGACTTTAAAATAAATACATGCATGCTGAAGTGCAAATGGTAGGAATAAGAGGAGCCCTGTGCATGCTCCATGCCATATCTCTTTGGTGACTTTTGTGAGTCCCAAAGGGTTTATACTACAGCATAGCTGTACTTTCACTTTTCTAAATTAAGCTGCTATCGTGACACGAATTTGGTGGGAGGTATCAGGGCTGAGGTCCCTTTTCCCATGGACTTCCAGGGAAACTGAATCCCTCTCTCCTTTCACTCATGAAACTCCATCCTGAAGCTTTAAAACTAAGCACCTCTGCTATTTTAGATTCACAGAACATAAAATTTTTAAGTGGCTTCCCTTCTTTAAGGCAGATGACAGGAGTGAGTTTCTTTTCCACATTTCCACGTTTCTTTTCATGTGCAGAGCAACACTTGACAGGATGGTGTTGCTGTGACACAGAGATGTCTACGACTCTTGGCCTTCAGTCTCACGCTCCAGCAACTTGCACAACCCGGACATAAGGAGGCCTCATGGGGACCATATGTCTTACCATATGGTCTTCTCTATCCCCAGAAGGAGGCTCTAGGGGTTTCCGAGCAATAGGTCAGTACACCTAAAGGGAGTAAGTCCAGGTAAGGCAGAAAGACCATCTGCAGACACAACAGCATGTGCTAGTGAAGATACCAGGAGCTGGCTGTAGGCATGGTAAGAGTTTAAAGCTGAGCATAATTTTTCAGTGACACTGTTCAAAGACTAAGGCAAAACTCAGTCCAGATCTGAACACTCCTATGGGGGTTTATAAAACTTCTTCTGTCTTTAAGCAGTGCAATTATAGTATCATACAGAGGCAGCTTTCATGATGACGGAGCTGGCTGGCCTTTACATTCCTCTCAGATTTTTCAACTCATAAAAATGAAATTTCTATTGTTTAGGCCAATTTTATCACCAAATGGCTGTCTTTTTGACTACTCAATCATTTTTGTTTTAAGGTCAGTACATTTAATTATTTTAGAATATAAAAATCCAAAGAAATGCAAGAAATTCGTGCTTTTTTTTTTTGAGTATTTTGTAAAGCTGAGTTTCATTGCAAAAGCTTCAGGTTTATCCTGTAACTTCAGTCAACAGTTCAATCTGCTGAAAGCAGAACTTTTACTGAGAGAAACAAGAAGATTCACTGAAACCAAGCGTTGATTCTGTGTGGCTTTCTAATGTGATTTCCACATGCATATTGTGCTTTTAAAAGGTGTGGTTGCAACCCCAGTGAATATACTGTAGGAAGCACAGAGCTCAAGAGTTTGTATAAATTCATACAAGAGTTTGTTCAAATGCCAGACAAAACCCACAATTAGACAGAATCACTGAATGGCTGAGGCTGGAAGGGACCACTGGAGGTCATCTAGTCTAACCTCCCTGTTCAAGTAGGGTCACCTACAGCACATTACTCAGGATTGTGTCCAGATGGCTCCTGAATACCTCCAGGGAAGGAGACTCCACAGACTCCCTGGGCAACCTATTCCAGTGCTCAGTCACTCTCACAGTAAAGAAGATCTTTCTCATATTGAGATGGAACTTCCTGTGCTTTAGTTTATGCCTGTTTCCTCTCGTCCTATCCCCTGGCACCACCAAGAAGAGCCTGGCCCCCTCCTCTTGTCACCTACCTTTCAGATACCTACATACATTGATCAGATTCCCATAAGCCTTTTCTTCTCTTAGGCCAAACAGGCCCAGCTCCCTCAGCCTTTCCTCATAGGAGAGATGCTCCAGACCCTTAACCATTCTAGTAGCCCTTCCCTGGACCTGCTCCGGGAACTCCATGTCTCTATTGTACTGGGGAGCCAGAAACTGGACACCTCCTAATGCAGCCCATTGGCCTTTTTGGCCACGGAGGCACACTGCTAGCTCATGGACAACTTGCTGTCCACCAGACACCCAGGTCCCTCTATGCAGAGCTACCTTCCAGCAGATCTGCCCTCAAACTGTACTGATGCAAGGGGTGACTCCTCCACAGGTGCAGAACCCTGCACTTGTCTGTTGAATTTCAACAGGTTCCTCTCTGCCCATCTCTCCAGCCTCTCCAGATCCTTCTGAATGACAGGGCAGCACTCTGGGGTACCAACTGCTCCTCCCAGTTTTGTAGCGTCAGCAAACTTGCTCAGGGTACATTCTATCTGAGTATATCTACTCTACTGAACATTTGCTGGAGGTTTTTGTCATGTCATCATGCTTTATTCAGTTGTAAACCTACTCCCCTGTAAAAATTAGAAACAATGAAAGAGGACAGTCTGTTTAAATAAGATGCTAATCATTCCTATCTTCAAACAGTATTAAAATCACTGTTAAATGAGTATACCTTTTCTGACATACATATAATCACATACAATACATATGATACAATCAGCAGTGAAGTCTGAAATGTTTCAGAAAAAGTAAAGCATTAGATAAATGAACATGAGTGCTTTTCTCCAAAGACAAAGGGGGGATTCTTGCTGACTTTGTGTGAAGATGTGTCTTGATTCAGCTTTATGTATTCCTTGGCAAGAACAGCAGTCAGCTAGACATAATTATTTTCCCATATTTGTCATGCACATCTAAATGCCTGTTAAAGAAAAGGCACACAATGAAAGGTAAATACCATATTCTGTTATCAAATAGGTATTATGATAATTTGGAGAACTCTGCTTATGACCAACAGACTTCTGATTGAACGATATGCTGTAGGAGCAGTGAAAAGTAATTAGAAGAGATATCTGAAGACATCTCTTGAAAGACAGATTAGCAGAAAAATGTGTAATGTAAAATCATCGTTAATATTTTCCTTAGTTATTATCATAGCTTCACAGAGACCTCATAAGCTAGGCTCTTGCTTCTCAGTATCTCCTAACCTGAAATGGATATAATTAATAGGCAAAACCTGAGGTGGTATAGCATGTATAAGGGCTAACAGTTTGGACACAGATGTTTATCAGTAAAAGGCATATTAAAAACAAACAAAAACAAAAGTGTTGCAAAGAAACAAAATGTCCATGGCACATCTTGGGCATTACATATCAAATTCCTACACGAGATCAGGTAGCAGGAGAGACTAGAAATGCGTATTCCCTTTGAAAGAAAAGCTCTGCAGGAGTCTTCATTTTCTCAGTTGTACTCTGACCCAAAAGAGAAAAGGAATACTTTAAATTAGTTCCTTCTATCAGGCTCAACAAATGATGTGCCTTCACAGTACAAAAGGAAGCAGGAATAATTTGCCACGTTTTGACTTTACACAAGGCAGTATAGAATCCAGCCAGGAACTGAAACACCAAACCAAATTTTAGCTTGAGTTTTGCAACCATGACAGCTTATATAATTGGCGAGAAAGGTAGGTGTTCTGTAGAAAGGTAACACATTGTGAAATGGAGATCTTCCAATTAAAAAAAACAAAGGTCTCCAGTCGTCTTTACGTGTGTTGTCAAATATGAAGACACATCCAGACTCAGCACTGAGGGCAAGTAAAAGAAAAGCAATGAATTGGCTAAGTACTTTTCAGTAGACTTTGTGCTTGTAAGAGAGAAAATAATTTAATGTTTCTGATTAACAATTTTTCTGAATAACTGAGTGGGATTTGGGAATAAAGAAGTTAGCACAGCAGGCAGTCTGAAGAAAAGTGGACTTGATCAGAGTTGTTCAGAAGTTTAATGTACTGTCATTAAAAAGTTAAGTGTACTGTCATTCATTTAAAATAATTTAGCACTTTATAAGAGTTCATTATTGTGTGGTAGTTGGCTTCTGCCAAAACACCCTGCTGCTTAAATATGAGATTTAATTAAGAGGTATTAAAATTATTTTCTGAAAGAGGGAGTACAAGGAAATCCTGGCAACGTATTTGGTATAAGAATCATGAAATTGTTTTTCTTGTAAATCTGTAATGCTTCATTATCCTTATTTCTTTACAAAAAATAAAAAAAGTTAAAAGCAAAATTTGGAATTTTGAATACACTAATACAGAGCAGCCAGGTTATTAAAATAACCAACTAACCTCCAAAATTTTAACTAACCAACAAACAGGAGTAGGTAAAAAGAAGATAGTGGAAAGGATGGGGAAACTCCCCAGACCAAAGACAAATGACTTGGTTTGGAGGTCATTCTTAATGATTTTGCAGTACATTAACTCTCTGTATTAAATAACAATTTTAAATAATCGGCATGTGATTACAATGTTATGCATTATAATCAGCCTACTCTGAGCAAACAGAATGCACCTGAAATATACAGGAGTAGTTTTCAGGATATACCACATGAACATCTAGGTATCACCTCCTGACCAGTTATTGCTGTTACTATTAATTTTTTACTCCAGAAATGTCAATACTGCAGATGCAGCATAGCCAGGGGGCATCTAACCTAGATTTGCATAAATATTTTGGCTACTGACAGATAGTTAGCAGTTGCATAGATCAGTCTGCACTGGTAAGATTGGCACCTGAAGCTTACTTCGGTAGCCTCAAGTTAACACACTCTTCCTTGCCCTCTGCATCTGCTGCCATGGAAGAGGGGTTTCCAAAGAGAAGAAACAGACCAAAGAACCTGTATTTACACTCATTTTCCTGTCCTCTTGTGGCAGGGCTGAGCATCTCACAGTTTTTCTAGTAAGCCTTGAGTGACTCAAGACATGAAACAAGATAAGAGTGTGGGCTATGCCCTCAAACCTCAAACTGTCCTTCTGATAAAGGAAATAGCTGACAGACTTCTTAGGGGTGGAATAAGAGGCCCAGCCCAGAATACAGCACTGGGAGGGACTTCCCACTGCTGCTCTAAGTGACAGTGTATCATCTCAAGCGTACCTTTATGAAATACCTCCTGAAATCCCCTAGGGCTCTTCCTAGAAAGCTCTTCCTGAAACACTGGCCAGCTTCTGCCTGTTGTCTCTTCTCCTTCTGTCCCCTAGCACACTTTCAGAAGACAGTTGTGTCCCTTTTCAGCTACTGAACAATACAGAATGATATGAGCTCCTCCAGTCTCCCCTAGTAGAAATGTTTTTCTTTCTCTCCTTGTCCTCAAAGCTCATGCAAGCATCTTCTACCATCTGAAATACCCCCTCCCACTCCCCCAAATACAAGAAAATTAGGATATGTACAACCAACAGAAGTCATACTAAATGTATTTCCAGTGAACTTTGTATCTTCTTCTTGTCAAAGTTGCCAAAAGCACAGTGAAACACAACAAAACTGCAGATAAATTCATGTTGGATAAATGGCACTTTATTTTCTTTTGAAGGAAAACACTATGGCTTTTAACCAAAACCTTCCACCAGGATATAAGAGTTTCTCCAAAGGAGAGACTGTTCTTCCTTAAGCTAGGCTGCTACAATTCCACCTTTCTGTCTGTTTGTGGTAAATCATACCCACGTGCTGCTGAGGAAATTCAGTAGCAAACCCATTTCTTCCCAGTACCGCACTGGCACTGATACGTATTTCCCACAACATTCCTTAATAGGTGGGAAATTTAATACAAAACTTAATACTCATGTAGCATTATGGTTGAAGGCAAAGCAACCAGCACATCAGGGAATTAACAACTATATTTCTAAGAAAAAAATAATTTGTTCAAGTTGTAAGTGAAGTTTATTTCTATTTCTTTTTCTATTCCTTCTTAGTAGTAAATATGAATGCACAACTCTTAAATTGATGAATGCACCATATAAAATTCTGTCAGAAACTGTAGTCATTTATGACTTTACTGTTGCACTATCCTGCAAACTTGACTGACAAGAACTTCAAAATGACAGCAACAAAAGAATAGTAATGTTCTAAAATGCACCCTTTTCCGATAAGCTATTGTAGTAAATAGTCAACAGGATTCTAAAAGTATTTTTTTCCCATAAGCCGCTGTAACAAATAGTCATTAATACAACTGCCTTTTGAATTTGATTGACAAAGGGGTTATGATGGAAGTGTTCATCACTTTGTTCAGTATTATAATACACAAGATACAAATTATGATTAATGCTGAGTCAGAGGTATAATTGTCAAAATGAAATTATACATTAAAAGAATAAAATAAGTACTTTTGATTTACATAAATTATTGCACTGAAAGAAAACAGAGAGACCCACCATATGAACCTCCAGAACAGCTTCTGAAGTGCACAAAAACCAATGTGCACAATCAGGGTATTAGATTATGGGACTGGCACTATTATATGAATATTGAACAAAAAAGCATAGCTACTATTCCATCTGTTTACATAATTTCATTTCTTTCAACATGGGTAAAACAAGTGAGTTTACCCTTTGTTTCAAGTTGCAATTTCTCTTTATAAAGGTTCTCACGCAGCAACACGAAATCTGTCTGTGAAAAACTGTTAACAGTGTGTGTTTTGAATCTTGGGTTTCACATAAAGAATGTAAAATCTTGCTTTGACATAATGTAGAGCTAAAGATACTTTTGACTTAATACAGCTCACCAAAATGTGAGCTACCAAGCTCTTCAAATTTAATTTGCAACCTTAAAATTTCATAATGTTAATTCTGACTTTTAATATAAAACATAAACTAATTTTTTACTGGAAAAGCACAACTTGTTACATAGAAGCTTCTTTCACAGCTTTATGATACAACAATCTGCTGCTAGTGATGTCAACATATCTCTACCATCTTCTCCAGAGATTTTGCTTCTCTTTTCAAATAACAACTGCCTGCAGAATATCTACAAACACCAAGAGCTAAATATCAGAAAAGATCTAGGCCCAAGATCTAGGGCCAAGACTCCACTCAGACGTGCATGAACTCTTGCTCTAACCAGCTGCACCTGCTCTTCTGGAGACTGAAGGTGACCTTTAACTTTAGAAGAAACCATAGTTGGGCTGCTGCTTTGAATTTTGGAAGCTTATTGCGATATGCAAAATTTACTAGAACTCAGTATTTGTCAACCTATTAGTATATCTGGAAAAGTCCTCTCAGTAGACGAGTTTCAATATTTTCAGATTCCTTTTGAACATTAATGTCACTCTGTCAACCATTTACTAATTCAGTATTAGTATCAGAAGCAGTAATGTCTTCTATATCCTGTCTTCAAAAGCACCCGGCACTTAGAAATCTAAAATGAGCTTCTGATTTTTTTTATTGCAAAACAATAAAATTACAAAAGACTAAAGTTGCACTTTTATACCAAGACATCCAAACTGCCTTACCTCATTGAAAAACTCTAACAGAAATAAAATCTCGTGCTACCATATCTACTTCTGAGAATCTTGTCTCTGTGATCACAAAGCACAGGATAATTTAATCTTAAAATCATATATGCCCACATTCAGAAAAGCACAGACACAGATAATCAATTTAGCCTCTTCTTTCTATACAGAATTACATAGTAGAGAATTACAGACAAACATTTTGTGAGCATTACGTCTTCAGTAGGCATCTGATCCCAAACATCTATCCAGACAGACTCATTTGGAAAGCACACAGCATACCTGTAGTATGGCAGCCAAGTGGGACTAGCCAGACCAACAGAAACAAACTCCTTGATGCTTATACCATTAATTATATCAGAGCAGTAATTAAGTTACTCCTTGCTGTTTTGACGTAAGACAACAGAAGAGCAATGACACAGTCTGATAAGAAATGAAAATCACATTCACCAGAGACCCAATAGACAGACCATTACCAGAGCAATATGACCAGCTGTTCTTGCTGGCATCGGAGAAAATGAGACCTACACTGAGGCAGCCTTCGCCCTAGGAGACAGCTGGAGATTTTCACCCTATGTTCCCAACTCAAGCCTAATACCCTCATGCGACTCAATTCATTTTCACCATCTTCAGGCTTTCAGGAATACAGGGAAACCAATCTCTGGGATGCAAAATACTCCACTGATGTTGTTTGCAGTTGCTTGAACATGTTGGCTTTAAATAAAATGAAAGAACACAGGGACCGTGGTCTGCTGAGCTTGGAGCTCCAACGTAGTATCCCTAAAATACCTAAGACACTGAGCCTGAAGGCTGTCCAAGTGAGGTAGGGAAGTAGCCATTTTCTCCAGTAGTCTGGAGAAAAGATACCATGCAACTTCCACCTCCTACTCACAGAAAAGACAATCTTAATCTGCTCATCATGAAGCAAGCGATGAATAGCAGAACAAGCAGAAGTGGATTACAAAATGCTTTAAATGTACTCAAAGCCCAAGACAGGTGTAACTTTTGCATATGCCTTTTGAGAGCTACAGTAAAGAACCTACAGCATAGTCTACAGGGAATCTGTTGAGATGTCTTTCATTGCCCAACCACAAAGGTAAACTCCATAAGAAAAACGAGCAACCCCAGATCTCCCTAAAGGACCTGGCAACAGGCTCTGACTTACCACAAACCTTTAATCATCTCCACTACAAGGGTCACTTTGCAACATTACACAGCCTGCAATCAAAAGCTATAAATGAATGCCCATTGGATAACATTGATACTTGAATTTAAGAATGAAATTGTTTAACTTTCATAAGCTGAAGATGTGTCTGTATTTTTGTTTCTTGTTGATATTAGAAAAAAGAAAGAAGCACTGTAAAACCTGCTGAAGTTCAAGGAAATTGCTGTCCAATGTTAGAACTGGAAGTCTGCCTACCGCTCAGTAGAAAAAGGCAAGAAAAGATGCTGAAAGATACTGAATGCAGAGATTGGAAGACGCCCACATAAAGCCCAAAACACAGCAGATCCTGAGCAACCTGTTCCTAAGTAACTAAGAAGAAATGAATGTCAAAACTTGATGAGGGAAGAATGGGACTTGCTCACACCTCAAAGGCTTACCTTCAAAGATGTTGTTTTAGACAGGGTGTAGAGAACCATTGCAGCTCCCTGCTACACTAGTGCTTTTTATGGCAGCTCTGAAACTACATTGTCACAACTCCAGCTGAAGTCTGGAGTTGAGGGAAATCCCTGGAAAATAGGCCACTCTTTGGATGCTAGAAGGAATATTAAGAATTAGAGCTAAATGTCACTTTTGGATCTTTGAATGAATTTTAGGTCCTGCCCATTTTGCGCCAAAATGCTTCTAGCCTTCATAGGGTATGCTATTGCTACTTGCCAGATCGCAAGATCTGAGTTGACACAAGAAAGTACAAGATTTTACACATTATGTCAGTTAGGAGTTGTTGGAAGATGTGTAAGAAACAAGGAGATGCCAAAGTTCACTGAATCTCTCTGAAGAAAGTCACACGGAGAGCAAACTTGTTCTAAAACCTAATGACTGGAGAGCAAATGGCACTTCCTACTACACTAGAACTGGGGGTTGCACCATGGGGGGGTACTCTCCTGAACTGCTCAACTCCACCATCACGATAGGTATGTTTAAGCTGCATTAGACTCTCCAGATGCCTCAAGGTTATAACAAACCTGTCAAAGCTTTCAGTTTATCTTAATAAGCCAGGCTTAAATCAGCATAGTCTAGGTGCCAACTCATAAGTGGATCAGCCAGGCCTGCCTCAGGGATGGGATGAGCATTTGGCAGCAATAACAGCTTCAGCTATGTAATTTTTATCCATCCTCACTAGTCTGTCAGAGCTCTAGGCCAACAACTCCTCCTAAGCTGAATTCTAGAAAGTTTTAGGCCAGACACAGGCAGATAAGCACAAATACAGGGATGCAATCACCTTGAAAACTTTGAGGTTTGAAATGGAGGCAACTACTAACAGATACACTATCATGGTTGGGCAATTAGTAACTGGATGGGCTTCTGCGTCACCATTTAGGATCAGGTCCTGCTATAGGCATGAAAGTTCTGGGCCAGGAGACAAAACAACCTTTCCACTTGCCTGAATACACATGCATTTTTTTCTGAGAATATTCAAATACCTTTAGCTACATTATAATGAGGTTAAAGCAAAAAAAGATTTCCCCACCCCAAATATTACAAATGTCAATAATGAGAACAGTAAAAATGTCACCACACAAAGAGAAATTAGCATATTTAGAGAAGTATTATACCCATGAGTGAAATAATGTAATCAGCTACCTGCAAGATAAAGCTAATTTGGTTTCCAACAATTTATCAACAATGCACTGCTCCTTTACATCAACAAATTTAAATGGTACCATATCCTGCAAACAAGAATAATTCACGCAGAATATTACACTGTGTTAATTAAATAGCTGGAATAGAAAAGGTCAGGCCATGACTGAAAAGCACACATATGGGTTGTGAAGCTATGAAAAGATGGAGTGATTTCAAATCAAGCAATTAAAATAAGTTATTTAAATCATTATCAAGTCAACAATAAACACATCTAGATTTTCTGAGCCCATTTTGACAGCTACTTTCTTTTGACACTGCTCCTCATAATTTTTTCTTGCTGACCCATGTAAGAGTCAAAATGCCTTTAAACCCATCATAAGATGAGGTGCTTGAATATGTTATCAAAGTTATCCTCCTTATATTCAAGTTTTCGTTTTACTCTGCAGGCCAGAGGCAAGTTTTGCAGTTAAAGGACACTGCAAAGCCCTACCTGAGTTACTTCCTGCCACAAGACCAACCAAGAAACCCCTTCCTGTTGTGCCCCCTCCCCCCCCCTTACTACAGTTAGTTGAAAAATGTTCAAAGAGAAGTATTTTTTCACTTTGTTTACTTCTGCAAATGACAGCACTTTGTCTTTGGCACAATGCCACCAAATAACTTACAGTAGTAACATAGCCATTTTAAATTGAAAGGACATTTTGGCATGGGCTAAACTGTGCTGAGATGGTAATGCATGAAAAAGACCTAGTAAACAGGGAATTAATTTTACTTGGAGCTCCAAAGTACTACTGAAATATGCCTCGGTCATGGCCAGATTCGAATTTTATCCTTTATTTTTACTGTACTTTTATCCCTACAGTTGTACACAGCAAGCTTGAATTTTAATTTGTAATTAATCTGTTATTTAACTATGCATGAATTTTGTTTTTCCTGGGGAATTTCTGAACTTTTCTAGACAAAATCTCATTTTCTTTTTGATTATAGTTCTGCTGATTTCAGTTGGTACAAACTTCCGTTTTGCATCTCTAGTGCAACTTCCAATTTGAACCTCAGTCTAGCAAAGAGAGCTGTGTGGGCTAAACAAAACACAATGTCCGTATGTTTTGGGAAGAATTTTATGGGAGTGCATGGGTTTGGCTGCAAAGCTGCTGGGGAGACACCACATGTGAAATTCAGTTGTTCGCTGCCTAGCACAGCAACCACTGCAACATTGCCACTGGATCTAAACCCAGCCTGTATGGACCCTGCTGTGCAGCTCTCCCCAGTTCGGCACAGAGGCATTTATCAAGCCGACTTCCAGACTCTGTGACAGAATGCCTAAGCCAGCCAAACTGAAATACCTATTCTTCTCAGGGAAGATGAGCACTGTGCAGCAAACGAGCCATTAATTTTATGACAAGCGCAGATGGCAGATATACAGATAAATACTTGCACAACGTAATGAATATATACTTCAATCTATTTAAATGATAATAGTTTCTAATGAGTTTAGTGTAACCCACATGATGGTATATTCATCCGAATTATTTTAAAATGTATTTCAATGCAGGCTGTAACTGAATCCTACTATTTTTTCCTTTTAGGAGCATGGCTGATTTGTATCCACCCAACACAATTTACTTCTCCCTTTAAAGGGCCGGATACCCTCAGAAGCCTTCGGTGGCTCCTTTCAGTAAGGTACCCACACCTCCTGAAGGCCAGCCCAGCTCTGCCCTCTGCGACCGCCACAGTGACGGGTTCACGCCTCAGAGGAACGTTTCGGAGGAGGAGCTGAGGCAGACGCAGGAAGCCCCACTCAGGCTCCTCCATTCCCGCCCGCGGCCTGCAGACGCAGCGTGCTGCCGAGCCCGGGCCGCCCTATGCCGCGCCCGGGACCGGGCGGAGCGGTGTCCTTCGCGGCTAGGTGTGTGCGAAGGGGCGCAGGGCACCTACCCGGCGCGGCAGAACGGCGACTCTCTGCCTCCGCCATGCTCCTCCGGCTCTTCCTCCGGGGCGGCTCGAGCGGGCTCCCGTCAGCACCACCCCCCTTAACGCTCCCCGGCCCGGGAGCTGGCCCGGCCCGTTGAGCCCTGCTGCGCGGGGCGGGGCCGCGGTGGCAGCGTGACTGCCGGGGCTGACAGCGGGCCCAAGACGGGGGTTCTCCCAGCAACGCCGGTGACACAAGAGCTGCCCCTCGCCCCCAGCGCTCCTGTCCTGGTGCCCGAACCCCGTATCCCACTGGGGTGACGGCCCGGCTGACCCCCCGGGGGGCTCCCCGCCCCGCACCCTCCCGCGGCTGCCAGCTGGCACGGGTTCTTCCCCACGGGTGCCGGGCTCGGCTCTCCTCCCCGGCGCCGCTTCCCTCCTCCCCTCGCCGGCGGAGGAAGGAGGTGGCCGCCGGCCCTCCCCGACCGCGCATGCGGCTGTGCCGAGCCGGGGCAGCGCCGCTGCGCTTGGGGGCTGAAGTGTGGGTGTCCCTTCCCCGGCGGGCCCCCGTCAGCGCCCCCGCAGATGGGCTTAGGCTGGAGCAGCGCGGAGGAGCGGCAGCCCCTCCTGCCACCGCCGCCACAGCAGCAGCAGCCACGGCGGCGGCCGCAGCCGCGGGGTCCGGCAGGGGTACCGGCGGCGGTGCCGGTGCGGCGGGTGGCGCCGCTGGCAGGCCGCGTCTACGGGCGGCGGTGGCTGGTGCTGCTGCTGTTCTCGCTGCTGGGCTTCGCGCAGGGCCTGGTGTGGAACAGCTGGGGCCCCATCCAGAACTCGGCCCGCCTGGCCTTCGGCTTTAGCGGCTGGGACATCGCCCTGCTCGTCTTCTGGGGGCCCATCGGGTTCGCGCCCTGCTTCTTCTTCATGTGGCTCATGGACAAGAAGGGTGAGCGGGGCCGGGGGCTTCTGGGCCGGGGCACGGGACTCCCCGCTCCCGCAGCTTTCCCCGGGCCAGGTGGGACGCGGTGGCTGTGCTCGTGGTCATGCCCATGGCCATGGTCCTGCCCTTGTCCTGGCGACGCCTCGGTGAGGGGCTTCGTCGAGGTCCTGATGCCGAGGGAGGGGGCGCCGCCGGCCCGGGGGGCACCAGTTGCTCTCGGGGCTATTGGCCTTGGTCTTAAAAGGCGATGACTAATACTTTAAAGGCATCTTGAGTACTATTTTCAGTACGCAGCTCAAACAAAGGCACATCAAAGGCCTTTCACTCGAAGGTACTTAAGCTGTTCCTAAAGTTAAGAGGAATGCTGGCATTTTACCTTGTGGCTGAGCTGTGGATCCGGAGATGTGCTCCAGACAAGACATTGCTGTGCGGGTGCTCGACCTGGAGTGGGTCATATTTTTTTGGTAATCAGCTGTAAAACAAACACCTGTGCTTGGACCAAGGAAAGCCAGTGTTCGTGGCAGCCATTGCGTCCTGAAAGACATACTTCATTTTTAAAAGCAGATTGCACGCAAAGTCAGTGGTTTGCTTTTAATTGCACTAGGAAGGTTCAAAGACAGAGAACGTAAGACAAATAACATAAACCAGAAGTTAACGCTTCAGGATTTCAGAAGGCGATCACAAGAGTTGCCTAATCTGTGTTCAGGCTGTTGCGTTTTGGTAGCAAACTTCAGAAAATGGTGATTGTCTTTAGAGAACTTGCCCAGCGCCTGTGCAGTTCATCTGTGGTCACCCTGGGGATCACTCTGGTGAGGACAGGTACCTGTGTCTGCAGGTTTGAGCTTAAACCCATAGAAGCATTTAGTCTTTTAATTCCTGTTTAAACAGGCCTCTAAACAGGAGATAGGAGTCTGTATACCCTTGTGGTTCTTGATGTTAAATGTTACTCATTCCATTTATTTAGGAATTAATAGCTTATTTATGGGGGGCGGGGAGGGGGGGAAGGTGGAGACTTAAGGCAGGCAGGGAGAAAAGTATCTGAGAAGGCTTGTGTCTCAAAATTGGAATTGCTGTTCCTAAAGCTGAAGAGGTGTTGGAGGAATACAACCTGTTGGGCTGAAAATACATTCTCCAAATTAGGTCATGGTGGCTGTACAGCCAGTCTTCTTTTGAGCAATCAGACTTAAGTCAGCAATGCCAGTCTAGACTGCTGTGTAATAGTGTTGTTAGCTATCTTAAAATTAAAGTAAGTTGTTTGGGTTTGCACATTGCAGAGAATTACTCTTTCCATGGTATGATGGAAATAAAGCTAAACTTGAACCTGTGCTTGTAGAATTAAGTCTGTATTTTTATTTCTTCATTTTCTATGAAGTTGATCCCAACCCATGCAAAAATACACTGGAAAAGTTTCAAAGTAACTCATGGGAGAAGAAACATTGGTGTTTTGTTGTTTCTTTAGTGTGATTAATAATGTGGTTGCTGGATTTTATGGTTTCCCATGTGGATTGTATTAATGAGAATGTGTACAAGTTTTTCCTCATTAGTGTAACTGATTGCTTGGGTGTTTTTTGTTTGGGGTTTTGTTTTTTTTTTTGTTTGGTTTGGTTTTTTTGTTGTTTTTTTTTAATTTCCATGTTCATTGAAGAATTGATGTGAACTACCCCTTAGATCTTGCTTTGTTGCTTTCCTTGTTGGGGAAAATTTCAGTTGTTAGCCTAAATAAAGCATCCCCCTCATTGGCTTTATGTGTAAGGAGTACCTAAGTGCTCTGGAGCATGTTCTTTGCACAGCAGCAGATTTTGTGGGGGCCCTGATGTATTTCATGCTGTTTTCTGAGTCTGGATGATTCCACAGTGAATGTGGTACTGTTCGCTTTGGAAATGACAGTGGAATCCTGACATTTAGTTCCTCATGGAACAAAGAGGAAAGCTATTGCTAACCAGCTCTCCCCTGTGGCACATTTCCACTGGAGGCACATTGTGGGAGGGTATCTGTTCTTTGGAGTATGCATGCTCCAGGAGGAGCCTAACGCTAATGCTTTGAAGCTGTAAAGTTGGGTAGGTCTGATCTTTCAGGGGCAGTGTTTAACTTGCTTGGAGTACAAATGCTTATTACACTGGATTTACTTTCTGTACCAGAAGAATATAGAGAAATGACACAATTTACTCTCTGGCTTCAATCATCTGTCATTGGAGTTAGCTAGTAAAGAAACTGTCAGGAAAAAAATGTGAAGTGTCAACATGTAGAACTTGGCATGTATCAGATGTATGATATTGTAGACAATGCATGTCAGAATTTGAGGGGAGATTCTGTTATTAGATAGTCCTACACTTCAGTCAGAGGTATATTTAACTGATGAGTAGCTGCCTGATGTCAGCTAAGTCTGATTTTGTGTTACGATGCTTCAAATGAAGTCCAAAAGCATGTTTCGTTTTCAGATGATCATTGTAGTATATAGTATTTATATATTTTGAAACATGAATCTGTTTCCATACCAAACTTCTTTTGTATTGTTTGTGCATTTGATTCTTATTACAGTACTGCTTATAAGGGTTTGGTCAGTGGTTTGGTTCTATTTATTTATTTATTTACCTTTTAACAAATTAGAAGTTGAATGATTAAATATTCAACAATTGGTATGTTCGTAATCCTACTTGGAAGAAGTGTTTCTTGGGCTGCATGATTCAATTTCATCACAGATTCTCAGAGAAGCATGGGGTCTTCTGAGGGCAGCAGTGTTTATTATTAGTAACAGGAATGCTAAATAAGCTCTAAATGATCTGTTCTTCAGTTCTGTATAGAAGGGATCCAGGATGGATAAATTGTTTGGGTTTTTTTGTTGGTTTGGTGGTTTGTTTTGTTGTGTTTTTTTTTTTTTGTTTTTTTTTGTTTTTTTTTTTTTTTTTTCTGACCTTGAAGAGTTCCTTAGCCTTTGTGACCTTTTCCCTCCTGGCCTGACAAATGTGTCTCCAGAATTTTTTGTGGAGGCCTGTTTGTAGTTGGCACAGGCAGTGCAGTTGGAGAATGGGAGGAATTGATGGGTTCAGCAAGGTGTGTAGAAGGTATCACTTTTGGGTCCCTGGGGAATTTCTGCAGAAGATACTACAGGTGACTGTACACCTTCTCCAAGGACTCTGATAGGTAGGTGCTGGTGTCAGAAGCAGCATGACAGTCTTGGTTGACTTAAGCCCATGTTCCTGTGGATCTTTAGGATTTTTCTGCTTTTTGTGAAATTGAGCATGAATTTTCATCAGGATGGTAGTGATGATCTTCACAAGGCTGTAAATGCAAAAAATCTTACTTGAATATCTGATCAGACTCAGAAGGAACAGACTTTTTTTGAAGGGTGTTAACACTGTATTTTAAAGGGTCTTTGAAACATTGGAGGAAGCCTGGATTTAGCTGGTGTTTCTCTAAGGTGTGTAAATTGAAAGCTAGTTCTTACTTTTTCTGAGCTCTTGTCATTCTCAAAAATACGTTTATTCTCAGATACATACTGAGGCTCACATATCACAGCTGGAAATTCCTCTTTGGGGAGCAAGCCTTGTCCCTGTTTCTGTCTCCCAGCTTCCACTAGCTGAATGGAGACTTCTGCCAGCATGCTTTTCTTTAGATGCCTGGGGAAACTTTCTGTGCTCCTTGGCTTGGTGCTGTAATAAGGACAGCAGTGGCATCTGTAACTTTTCCCATCTGGGATGGGTGCATGTTGAAACTTGGGAATTATGTTCATGAGTTTCATTTTTGAGTATGTACCATTTTCAAGTAGGTTTGAAGACCCTTTCCCATAACTAGAATTACAGATGTTGTCTTGGTTGATTGGTTTCTTAGTGAAGAAAGGTTAAAAAATGGAGTGTGCCATGGAGCCACATTTATCTGATGTGTTTTCTTTAGCAATAGGATTAGAGAGTCCTTGTTTAAATGATAATTACCTTTAGAGATTCAATAAGACTGAAATTAAATGGGAAATTACTTCATTGTGCCGTTGCATGGACCCTTGTTGTTTACAAGATTAAAATTAGCTACAATTTGTCACATGATGCTTGAGTGTTTAATGGATGTTTTGTGGCTTGAGTGTTTCATTTCCTGGGAACTGTAAATATAAGCTTGCAGAACTGTTAGGATGTTTCTATTTCTCACTGGAAATTGAAAGATTACATACTTCTGTGGGTCTGGTTCACTGAGGTTTTTTATTAATTAAGTTCATAGTTACAAAGTGAGACCTAGAAGCAGTATATAGCGCTGTCTTCATTATGTTCCCGTTTAAGCAAGAAGAGGCAACAAGGAATGAAAGACTTCATGATAATTTATATTAAACAAATTGAGTAGAATGGTGATATTTTTCATTAATTTTTGGAATACAGTGAACACAGTTTTATACTGAGTTTGAAGGAATGTGACATCATTTGTAAAAGAGAAATGCAATCTATTTTTTGGTCCTGTTTTATAAAATGATATATGCTCACATGGGACACTCTTAGTAACTATTTTGCTGAAATTAAATTTACATACCATTGTTATCCTAGTGATTAAATTACAAAGTAGAGAGGAAACTTCAGTAATCATATTTTGATTTTTAATGGAGACTGGTTTGTCTATCGAAGCCATGATTGTTTTTTGTGTGACTAGTTATTCCTTTCCAGAATATCAAACTCTTGATCTCATTGCTGTCTCCTAAGTCATGCTTGGTTTCTTCTCCAAGACATTTGATAGGTCTTACCTCTTCCATCTGGGAATTTTGAGGTTAAATTCTTTAATACAGTCTGACAAAACAGTCATGAATATTGAGTACGGGTACTAAATTGGGCTTTACTAATATAAAAATCATCTTAATAACAATTCTCTGTACAAAATAATGTACACACGATAGATAAGGAGAATTTTGTGTAGCAGCTTTCATATTTAAAGTTCCCCGATTTCCATTTTATTCTGCAAGCATAGAAACAGTGATTTTACTTTCAGAGGACCCTCAGACTTCTTTAACTTGCATCTGGAGTCACTGGGACAGA